TCTTCCCCCAGGGTCATCCCCTTAAAAATTTAAAATGACAAGAGGTATCGAGTAATAGCTTGCTTGGAAGGTCTTTGGAAGTCCTTTATTTTGGCGTTTGATTATTTAAAATCGGTCGATTCGCTTTCAAGAAAATTAGAAAAATCTTTATTTATCTTAATTAATATTACTTTTTATGTCAATAAGTGATCAAAATGTTGCCCGTTATTGGTCAAACAACGATATAGGCGATATTCAAATTCCTGACTGACATTTTCAAAAACAGGTTGTGGGATATCATGGCAGCTTTCCATGATGCGTTGACGAAGTTCATCTAAACTTTCAGGTTGGGGAGTAAGCACAATAGATTTCAAATGGCCTCATATAAAAACGTCTAATGGCGTCAAATCAGGAGATCTTGGGGGCCATTCTATAGACCATCTTTGCCCTAGCCATTTATCTGGAAACTCATCGTCTAGCCATTGCCGATTCGGAATAGCATAGTGAGGAGGAGCGCCGTCCTGCTGGAAATATATTTCAGCCTCATCAAGTATATTGTTTCCATCCTCTTCGATTTGGTTTTCAATGGTTTCGGTGATACGCGAATTGATGGTATTTTCCAACATATCCAAATAAATGACTCCATTCAAATTTCCATAAATAAACAATGGCCCAATAACTTTGTTTCCTGAAATGCCTGCCCATACATTAATTTTTTGGGAGTACTGGGTATGCCCTTCTACAAGAGCATGAGGACTTTCATTGCTCCAATACCTTCAGTTATGCTTATTAAGAAATACATTTAGACGAAATGTGCATTCATCACTGAAGCAGGTATTTTTTACATGCATGGTAGTATCATTAATCGCTGCAGTTATTTGTTTACAAAACTCAACTCGCCTATCGAAATCATCTTCGGTTAATTCTTGCAATATTTTCATTTTGAATGGAGTTTAGTAACTGAGCGTACAGAGCCTAATGGAATACCAGTCGCAGCAAAAATTTTGCGTAATGAAGTATTAGGATTTATTCCACAATGACCAAAAACTTCAACTTGAGCGGCTTCATCCAAAACTCTCCGATAATCACGTTTTATACTTGTAACAGATCTAGTTTGAGTAAATTTAGTAACGAGGTCCAAGACATTCCTATGCGAAGTTATCTTCCCCGGATGTCTGGCGTTAAACGTGGCGGCCGTTTACCGAGCACATTGATTCTGGTCACCATAAATTAGAATCATTTGCACTCTTTTCGGCTAGTGTGTAAACCATTTTGGAAGTAAAATCTGAATCAATACAGTTCGCCCAGGATATCTGTGTTGATGAAAAAAAATGCGGATACAAATTCGGGTTGTTATTTGGTTGTCGCCACGTCTAATCTTCCGAATTGGTGGTTTCCGTTTTGCATTATAAGCGAATTGTAGATTTGGCAAACCCTGAAGGGCAACACTTTGAACACTCATTAAAATAAAAAGTGATATTCTCGTGTGTTTTTGTTTCCTATCTGTAAAATTAAGATAAATAAAGATTTTTCTAATTTTGTCGAAAACGAATCGACTGATTTCAAAAAATCAAACGTCAAAATAAAGGACTTCGGAAGACCTTTGAAACAAGCTATTACTCGATACCATTTGTCATTTAAAATTTTTAAGGGAATGGTGGTGAAATAGTTTTTGGTTGAAAAGTTGTCCCCCTTGACAAATCGTTTGACTTGCCTCGGCGTTTTTCCTTTTAATCAGTGGTTTTCGATTAATCCGCGGTGGGAAGTTTTCAAATAAACATCCTGTATATATCCTTCTCTGTAGGGTATCATAAAGCGATTAAGGTACGGATGACTACGGAATTTGTAAATTAAAAATTAGAAGAACTGCGAATTCCAAGATAATCCGTGCGTCAATTGTTTATTTAGGTACCACAAAGTATGTTTTAAGAGCTCTCTATTTTTTCTCTCAGGAATAAAAATTCGATAAAACCCGAGAGGGATTATCTTTATTTCCGAAATATTTTTGACATTCAGATACGGTCAATAAGTGTTTAATCTGAAATTCCAGTTTTCGATGACGCGACCGAGCACATCGAGTGGCTTTTTGACGATAATTAGTACACCATGATTACAAACTATTTGCTACTTGAAATTCAAGCTCAATTTCCCGTATTTTGCAAACTATAACTAAAAGATGAGCATTTTTGCATTTCAACGGTATAATTTTGAAAAGTAAATTGGTTCACTATTATCATGGCAAATTTCAGCCTGCTTTTAATTTTTCTAAGGATATATTGAAATATTCTCACCGACTATATCTTTTTTCTTCTTTCAGAGGGTGTCCCAGTGATGAAGACATTCGCACAAGTTCACGATAAAACCCAAACTGCTGTTCTGAACTCTCGCTTATCTTATTTGCAATCTGCTTTTTCAATATGTAATTTAATGCTGCTATTTTAAAACCGTCTGTATTCAAGGTGAGACGTGTCTTTCTCAAAATGACAACCATGACTAGATAAGGAAAAGAGAAGAACGGCAGTTGCATTATTTTCATCTGTTCAATGCCTTTTTTTGTAATACCGTTTTAATTGAAGTAAACTTTCTTAATTTAGATTTGGTTACTTTTTAAGAACTCTTGATTTCTCACATCAATTAGCGAGTATTATCTATACTTATTCAGGGTGTCCTGAAAGTTGGGACTTTCGTTTTCAGAAGTAACTATAATTGAAATAACAAAGGTAATGGGTGGTGAAACAATATCTAAAAAGTAAAAAAAGCAAAAGTATTCACCGCATATTTGTAGAAAAATTTCAAGTACGGCTCTGTTGCATCAGTACTGTTTGAAATTGTGACATACCATTTGCCATGCCAGCCCAAATGTTCAACGTCATGATTTTTGAAAATGTGAACGACGCCCGACGGATTACGTGAGAATTTTCCAATGACCACTCATGAGTAGTTTAGAAGGTATTCACCCATTACGCGTGAAAATTGATCCATCCGTTACCAATATGTCCTGCAATAAGTACTCATGCACTCTTGCAGGAAATTCCTCAGCTTGGAGGGTTCGTACAAAGGGTATAATCCATCATCATAGCACTTTGTCTTGGAGACTTTCACTTGTCTAGCCACTTCCTTAGTACTTGTTCAATGATTTTCTTCAAGATTTCTTCGTGTTTGAACCATTTGGGGGTGTCTAGGTATTCCACTCTGCCTCCTCGATCGACATTTCTGTTAAGCGACCTATATTCCTAGCTCTTCGCACAAAGTAAACGGAGCTAGCTAGCCCTAAATACGTCTGGGAGAGCGAACTGCATACAGTTGCGAAGCCTCTGTAGCATTTTGAATACGCTCACCGTAAATTAAATCATATCGACAAGTTTGATATTTCCTTCTCATTTTTGATTGAGATACAGGATCAAGTTTGATTGATTTTGCGGAGCCTACTAATTATCTCGGTTATGTTAAGACTTTGGTGTATATGCTATTAGGGAAGTTCAAACTTTGCGAAAACTGTATAAATGTGAATGTCTGTCAAGTCTCTCAGCATCACGAGAGACGTAAACATTTGTGCAATTACTAATTAAGAGTCGAGGAAGGCCATTGACATACTTTTATCCGCGAAAATTTACAGGGTGTTAAAAAAGTATGGATAAATCAAAATACCGAAAAATACATTTTCTACAGAAAAATGTTTTCAAAGTTGTAAGGTTTGAAAAGTTATCCATTATTGATCTTGGACGTGACCTTCAAGGTCATTTGTGGACAACCTTTATGAGTATTTGAGCGTGTCCAGAAAATAGGGAAAGGACGAAATATCTTGTAAAATACATTTCATAAAAAAATGTGTAACAAAGTTACTAGGTTTGAAAAGATTCACATACAAGTGACCTTTAACGTGACCTTCGCCTAGAAACTCCCGTTTTTGACATAGGAAATAAAAAGAGCAACACACTTCATGTTCAAGTAAGTCCATGACTTTGACTATAACCGTCACGTTCATTTAAAAATCAAATGAACTTTTAACGGGAAACAACTATGTTTAATTGGTGAAATGCAAATTTCGGACAATTTTAAGTTCAAGAATATATTTGCCAATGAACCCGACCATGACTTTTATGGATCAGTTTAAGGTCATATAAATTTTCAAGTAAACTCCTTACGTTTTTTTGAGGATATGAAACAGTGGAACATTGAAACTAATTTATGATTGTATTAAATTGGTAAAAAGTGGTCATTGGTAAAGTAACTATTGCATCACTTCGAGTATTCCATTTATTTCTCCGAAACCAATCTTCTCTTACACTAATGCAAAACGAAAAAAAAAACTGTATAGTAACACTTAAAGGGGGATTCAAGCCTCTAACAGACCATGAGCAAATATACAGGTCATTATACTTAAGAAAAAAGAGTTTTTCTAAGTTGAACGTTGTGAGCTTTGGACGTATATTCCATGAAATGAAATATATAGAAAGATAGAGTCACGATTCAGCATAACATTACTTCTATGTAAAACGAATGTTTTTGTAGTTTGGCCAACAGATACAAAATCATGGTCATCATGAGATTCATAAAATCATTGTTCAAGTGAAATTATTTGCTGACTATCTCATTTGGAAATAGCACTACATTCACAACTCTTTTTGAAAACGAAGAAATGGTACATTCTAACACTTGTTTTATTTTTCGGAGGTCCATCAATTAAAACTTCCAATAAACAATATGGAATTCGCAAGTTATCGATAATGCACTGCTCCTCGCCAGAAACTTGAAGCCCAGGTCTCTCATCAGAGAAAGGATGTCGTTGCTAGTCTCCTTTGTTTCCAGCTCACCGGCAGAAATCGGCTTGTCACTAAGAATTCCTGCATAAAGAGTGCTGTTATCAACAAAGCTGTGGATCACATTGATAGCACAGGAAAGGTGCTCGTTGATACGTAAGAGGAACAATGTCGGAGTCAAGACCGATCCCTGCGGAACACACGCATTGACATTATGGGACGTGACCTTGAGATCAGTAGATCTTAACCAGTAAAAGACGATTCAATAAGTAATGAATTTATTTGCCTTACACTCAAACAGTTTATCCAAACATAACAAAAATCGAAAAAAGAACACGAAATGTAATCAAGCTATACACCGAACAGCTGGCTCACTGTCACATGAAGGTTTATGATCAGATCTTGTCAATAGGGATATGATGTGCTGGACGTTACTCTTAGATGATCCAAGACATGGGCAAGATGAGTCACAGGTTCTGGGCTTCGTCAATTTTTTTGAAATATTCGAAAATGTTGAATACGTTGATTCTGTGTTGCCTCGGTACAGTTCGTCAGCAGACACATCTTTGTCGGTCTCCTGGCTCATGGTGTTTATTGAAGAAAGCTAGAAATGAATATTGTCGGTGTTTCAAAGATCTGAAACTGTAAAACTCAAGAACGAGAGGTTTTGTTTTAGAAAATATTTATTTTTTTAGTTATAAACGTGCAGTGCTCTTTCAGGATCAGCAATAAAAAAATAGGAAAACCATTAATTAACGTACATCATAAATCCACAGGTCATAAACTAAAATATTGATCAATATAAACATAAAAAGATAGATTGAATTTTCAGTTTTTCATAAAAGCAAACATGCTGAGTTTGCGCTATTTACAGCAGACAATTCAACCTTAATGAAATATCTGATTTATAGAGAATAGCGGATTTACAGTTAGCGAATCAAAGTAAGTATAGGTTAGCCAACCAGTACCTACTGCACTGCGGCTGCTCTATTATGCTATAGTTGTATACCCTATTTCACGAGTATCCATCACGGTAGAATCACAGCTGATTATCTAGTGATATCCCAAAATTCCCCATATCGGCTCAGGACAAATAATTCTGACAGATCCGTCAACGTCAGGTAGTCAGAGCCGTATTTTGTTTTGCTTTTTTGTACGCTACAGATTTATTTTGTACTTGCTAACAGCTCTTTTATTTAGAAAAGTTCATCTACAAAAAACAAGTGCTACAAACAAATTTTACTGGATTTACACCCGATTCATTACGGCCTACGTTGAAGGCTAACACAAAAATGTCACTTGCTGATCAGCTGTTCACCTCAGTAGACGTCAAAGCGTGATGGATACTCGTGAGTAGGGTATAAAGCACGTTTTCGAATGTTTTATAACCCTAAATTTGAATCGACTATCTTTGAACGACTTATATGTGAAAGAAATTTAGTGATGGATATATGTCCTTGAATGATATATTAGATAAATTTAAGAGGATTACTGAAAATAAGATAAATTTAAAAAACAATGCTTGTGGCGACTTGCGTAAAACTTTAATGAAATAAAAACACACAAAAGGACAATAAGCAACTGAAAAATGTACGGAAACAATATCAAGCTAAGCTAAGTAGAACGCTTTTGTGACAACCAGGGAATAACATAACAAAGGCAGCAGCGGTGGCCGCAGTAGTAGACTCTTCGGTCTCCTGATCAGTCGCCGTGCGCTGTGCGGGTTCAAATCCCGCCCCAAGAGAAAATTTTCTCTTGGCTATGAATGTTGTGATTGTTCGTAGGTGGTAGATGGTCTCTGAGTGTCGAACGCAGAGGTACCACCCGGCCGATCTCGTAGGCAGGGCCAAAATTTCTCCTGTATCCCTCTATAGCCCCACGGTACCTCATCGGTGTTTAGGCCTTATTCCTTTGTGGTGGTTGGAGTATAATAAAAAACAAATATGCATACGTTGGTGAATTTACAATAAACAATTAGGTTTTTTAAAATCACGTCTCAGTGATCTCTTTCATTAGTCTTATCGATAGGAAAACACGGTTTCAAAAAAACTGTCTTTAGAGACTATCGTTACTTCGTTAGCTGTTAAAAAGGCGTGCTACTCAACTTTGATCTTGCCCCATAATGCTTGCTATACAAGCAGCAGATGCAATAGTGGCTGTCTACACTTAATTCAAATTGCTCGCTGTGAAATCGAGACTTAACTATAAAATCCAGTAATCAAACATTACTATTTACATTTAGTAATATCTAGGACAAAAAACAAAACATCTCAAATTCATCATCAAAATTCAAAATACATATGACGAGCAAAGAAATATCTTCTGACATCACACATCAGTGACTGCCTTTGATGACATCTGTTACAGCCCACTGTGAAATGTGGATGTTATACTCCCTTGAATATTCATTGAGGAAGTGTTATTGTTTTATTGTTTCCAAGTAGAGATATTTCCTCAAACACTGCTCAAATCTCAAAGAAGGTGTACAAAACCATCTCCTTATACCGTAAGCTTTCCAATACGCTACTTGACTCATATCTAATTTCATAGAAAAAGTGATTGGCTTAGGAACACGAAATACGTATATTGATTTCAATTTTTAAAAGCGCAAGATGGATGTATAGGTCCAATTTAAAGAAATGCATTTTGATTTATGAAATGAAACGCTAAGCACACTATCGACCATGATGTCGATAAAAATTGTAAATAAAGAAACGTCATCCCTATGTCATTCGCGGACTAACGTACCATGCCTTTAATATTTAAAAAAACTGCTAATCAATGTAAAAGTTTGGTTGTTGAATTCGTAAAAGCAGAAACCACAAATGTGGCGAAAATTAACACATTGATGATTGGTAACTTTTTGCCTTCAACTCAGATTTCTGTTATGTTGAGCTCTATGTAAATGCAGTGCACTTGATACAATGATATACATAAAAATAAAGAATAAGTAATACACTTACATAATCTTGCTTTTCAGAAGTCAATCAAAATTAAGCACATGCGTCATAATCTCCGAATAATTTTAACTAATATTGCATTGCTTCTTACAAATCTGCAATCATGCGGTAGGTAAATTCCAACTTAATGGAGACAATAAAATCTGGAAAGTAAAATGTATGCTCCAAGCTCGTCATAATGTGGGCACTCTAATCCACAGCTATCCTGAGGTCTTTATCGATGTGTTTTTACATTCTCGGACGATACAATAACGATAATTTATATTTTTCATGTAAACTAGCAGAAGTCACGTTTATATGTTTGAAAGTTTGAGTGGTTATGCTAGTGTAAGCTAATGTTTACAAATATTATGACATCAGATCACATTTATATATCGGCCAAAGATGGCGTTGTAGGCTGCCTGAAAAATTTGTAAATTAAAGTTTTACGGTCTTTTAGGTCTTAAAAAATATAGTGTTAATTCTTTTGTCTAATAGAACCAATATTAACTATTTAAGATCTACTTGAAAAGAGTGTCAACAAGTCTATTTTTCAAAAGCTTTTCGAATAGAATCAGAATCAGAAATTTTCGCAAACCTTTTCTCTAACAGCCCTAAGTTCATCCTCTTTCTCATGAAGCATTTTCGTGAGCATGTACTGGACCCTTTTTGAGCGTTAACCTGCAGCTGGAAGTCAGCTACTGTTTCCAACAGTTTCTTGGTAGCAAACTGTGCAGCTGACATGGCCTTTGCTTTCTCATTGGCTAGCTGGCAACGTTGTTCTTCCCATTGACGTCGCTGGGTGTCGATCTGGAAAGATATCGTACTGGATCAGTGAATTTCTAAAGAGTGGGATACTGACTTTTGTAGTTGAGATCTGGGTGAGCGAAACGGTGTCTTCTAGACGTTTATGATTGGGACGTAATGTATGAACTGGTGCTGGAGTCGCCTATCGTAATGTGTTCAAGCTGCAAAATGGAAATAATTTTGTATACGATTTCTTGGATGAGCGCATCTGCGACTATGTTTAGCAAACAACAATTTGAAAGAAAGGAAAAGTGGGCGTCGGAGGGAATCGAACCCGCACCTCCTTCATTCCGTGGAGCCGACCTAACCGATTAGTCTACAGCACCAGCTACCAACCAAGTTTCAGGACACACTGTTAGAGGAATATTCAATGCTAGCCACGCCACTGTTCCCATGTTCTTTCGAGCTGCTTGATTCCCCATCTGGCAGCGTTCAAGTAAAACAAATAGGATTGCTAACGGCCGTATCGTCAGTCGTTCCTACAATTGTGGAACGCCTTTATGGCCTCCTTGATTGTCATAGTCTCTACTATAGCTGGATATACTTAGTGAGGATTTGTGGGCTAACAACCTATGTTGATGGTAATTACCTTCATTTTTTGTCTCAAATACTCTTACATGAGGTGTATGCGTCATATGCAAATATGTTGAATTTCAAAAATGATAGAGATGGAAAAAGAAAATCCCTGCTTGGTGTAGTATATTACAACTAATAGGTGAGAAAATAGGCAACAGACAGGACAATTATGAAACGTGAAAAGGTTATTACATTTTCATTATTTTGTATTTGCAGTCATTTAAATTTTATTGAAATTTATTTTGCAATCTCAAGTTGATAATACAAATCAACCCCTTAATGTGAGGCACTACGAAAATGTTTTGTGCGTGTTGCATCATCTCTAATTTTTGTGTGACGTGACACAACGTGGGCACGGTGGTGATTTCCTGTAATGCTTTTCAAAGTGTTTGAAAACGCAAAAAACCTGGGAAAATCGTAATTCATATCATCACCACAGTTATCCAGATGCGATCTTGCTACTCTGCTACTCAACCAATTTTATTTCTGTCACATCTTCTCAGAGATAGAGGAATAAACTATTCGCATACTAGGAGCTATCTAGTCAGCAAGTTGACATTTTGTGTTTTTTTTAACATTATACAGGGTGTTTCACATTCGATCCTCACCATTGGGATCTCAGAAACTGTAAGAGATGCGAAGTCACTTAAATTAGGGCGAAGTTACGTATTCAAGAGATCAACAAAATTCCGCTTAGAAAGTTTCGAAATTTGCAGCACTTTCGGAGAGGGACGAAAAAAGCACAAATTTCCCGAAGTAGTTTTACATTTTCCTGACTTTTTGTAGTAGGATTTCAAAATAAATTTCACATTAACATTGTCACTTTTTCTCCTCTACAAGATGGCATAATCAGAATTCCAATATATAGGTATAACATTTTGTCTCTTATCCTCCAGCATTAACTTTATTTCTTCTTATGGACGCCATAATATGTCATACATTGACATTGCCAAAACTTAGTTATTCCAGAACAACTGAAATTCCTAGGAAGGCCTTAAAAATATCAGATTTTATTTGTTTCCTATATCAGACTAGACCTCAAATTGAACATAGCACTAGAGTTTGGACGTTAGACAAGAAGTGTACAATGTACGGAGAAGAGTCAGGCTTTGCCTACAGCATAACGGATAACATTATCAACATCTGCTTTGATTTACCTCTGCTTATTTATGATTAGTATTGTTATTACCATCAAAAAAAAATTCATTTTGTGTTCAGGTAATTTACATTGAACAGCAAACTCATGGCCAACTCAGGAAATATACATCATGGATTTAGGAGTGAAAAGTCTATTTAAAAGTACAAAATTCCAATATAGCGTCCATATTTATGGAAAAACAAATTTGGTGGTGGAAGTCGAAAGAAGAAATGTCGATTTGAAAATATGACTACGCCATCTTGTGAAGGAGAATGACATTGACAACATGCAATTTATTTACAAATCCCAACTCAAATAAAGCTAGGAAAACATAAAAGTGATCTTGGGATAAATCTGATATGCGAATCAAATGACTATCTAATAATTTCAAGGCGTACCTACGAAATTCTGCTTTTTGCAAATAACTAAGGTTTGGCAGTATCGATGTATGACATTTTATACATTTTTGGATCCAGTGCAAATGTGCAAAAAAACGGCGTCCGTAAGAAGTAAAGTTGATGCTGGAGGAGAAGAGAAGAAATGTCATACTGAAATTCTAATTATGGCTTCTTGTAGAAAAGACAATGTGGTAACCTAATGTGCAATTTATTTTGAAATCTTACTACAAATAAAGTCAGGACAAAATGTAAACGATTTTGGGAAAAATCTGGTTTTTCCGCCTATCTCCAGAAGGGCTTTGAGTTTTGAAACTTTCTAAGAAGCATTTTGTTGATTACCTAAATACGCAACTTTGGCCTAATAAGCAATTTGGTATCTCTTACAGTTTCCGAAATCCCAATGGGCAAGGTCGAATTTAAAACACCCTGTATAGATTTTTTACGTATAGCCCCGCCGGATTGCTTTACTTGAAGGCTGCCAGATGGGACATCAAGCAGCATGAAATAAGAAAGGAAACGGCTAGTAAAAAATCAAAATACGAATTATTAGATGGCAAAGCTGTATGTCTGAGATTCATTTATATGAGTTACCTCGTTCTGTAGTAACATTATCGATTCTTGCATTCCTTCCCCAAGTTCTTGATTAGCGCTGCATTGTCGAAGTTTCTTGTCAAGTTCAGTCATTTCATTCATCAAGGCGTTTCGCTGGTATTCCAATTTCTGAGAAGCACAGGTCGTATAAAGAGCTTTAAAAAGGGTTGCCACAAAGTACTAAATCGATTCAAGGATCTGCGATAACTAATGTAATTTTTTCGATAACCATCAAGAGAAATGTTTTATAGAGCTTTAAGAAGCATCGGCACAAAGAAAGTGTTTATATTGACCCTTAAACTTTTAATAATAATAGAGTACGAAGATGGCTATATGATTTTTCATATTTCAGAGTAAGAAGGTCAGGGGCAGACATTACCGCATTGACGATTGGCGACAAGCTGAATGACTGACGCAATTCTAGACAAATGGACTTTTTGTATGCCTTACAGCTCATGTTATGGAAGGAATATAATTGAATCGTTCATTTTAAAATTCCTTTGAAATAATCGCCTCTGTCTATACATGGCGCTTAATATCTGGACAAGTTTCACATCGTCGCGCGTCGTCGACAGCCTTGATCATGCTGCGGCTTGAGCCAGCGACGCTGTTGCTGAATTCGGGTCGGACCCTCTGCAAGTAAAGTATATCGCGCCATTCTGGGTAGCTTTTATTGCTCGAGCCACACACGTAAGCATTATGAGATATATGTGTGAAAAACAGATGGATAATACTAATGGGATCACAGACGATCCCGCACAAAAGATATGGAAGATGTATCCTAATCGATTTGTTTGAAAATTCAATATGATATATCACTTGCATCTCTGAACAAAAATTCTCATGGGACTAAGGCTATCCTATGATTAGTTTACCTGAGAAATAGAAAGGTGAAGTTAGCCGATTTGCAAAAAAACATTGCAACATGTAGCGTATCTACGAAATCTTTATAAATAATAGTTTAAAAAAAACACGCTTTTATAGCTAACTGAACTAAAAAGTAGAAAATAATTTTTAATTACAAAGAGTTTATATTACAGTAGTGGATGGTCGAACAATCAATTATAATTAATGACCTCAAAATAAAATTATAATAAAATTTGAGTTATTTTATATATTAAATCATTTTATTGACAACTCTCTATGAAAGGAGAGTTATGAAAATGTAGTAAAACTTACCCCACGCTTTTTACTCTGAATTGAAGTATTCTGTTAATAACTAAAATTTGATTATACTTTTATTTTCAGGTCATTAATTATGATTGATTGTTCGACCATCCAGTACTGTAATATAAACTCTTTGTAATTAAAAATTATTTCATACTTTTTATTTCGGTTAGCTATAAAAGCGTGTTTTCTCTTAGTTTTTTTGAACTATTATTTATTTTTCATTTTATAGTTCGATTTATCAATTAGTCTTTTGTGGACATGTAGTGAAATGCCTTACGAATCATTTCGTAATACAGTGGACTTCCGGTAATCCGACCAACATTATGCAGGGCAGTGTCGGACTATCGGATTGGTCGGATTATAGAGCACTGCCTAAGAGCCCCTATAGTCCAAAATTTTTTACAAAAGCGTACCTTGTAATCCGACAAATTACATATCCAATGGTAAGATTATATATGTTATGTAACGTATATGTATGTACTTTGAAGTACAAATCATACATAGTTTATGTATGTCGAATTTAGTAAATTAAATAACAATAGAGAGCTTACGATTTATTATAAAATTAAGCATAAATGCACATACATATGTACCAAAATAATCAAGAATTATCAATCAAAATCATGAATGAATTTATCAAATTATGAAGCTTGGAAATATTCATCAATTTTTTTTTGTTTAAGGTTGTTACAACGCGAGATCAGAGCTTTGTCTCTCAGTCTTCTCAAAAGTAAAAGTTCGTTGTAGGATGTACCATTCTCTTCAGCCCCTTGTAAACCTAGCTCAAAGGCGTTAATTGCGTCTTGTGCTGTGACTTGTGGAGCAGTTGCAATCACGTCGGCGTCGTCGTTATTTTCCTGATTGTTTGTTGTATAATTAGAAACCTCTTTATAATCTCTTCCGGAATTATCTGTGTTTCAGTAGCGACTTGTTCTATAACTTCCGAAGTAACACTCATTTGTGGAACGTGGAGTGGTGACTATATCTGGCCATAACTTTTTCTAAGACGATTTAATAGTTGATGACGGTAACGCATTCCACGATTGACAAAGATCAAAAACTAAGTCTTTCATATTAAATTCTTTCGAAGTTTTTTCTATTGGTTGGTCTTTTGATACGGCTCTCAGAAGTAGGTTTTTCTTATAGTCTTGCTTGACAAACTGAATGATATTTTGGTCCATTGGTTGAATCAGTGCAGTGCAATTTGGCGGAAGAAACATCGCAGTGATGCATTTATCCTCAGTTGTTAGTTCTTCTTCAGACGGATGGCCCGGAGCGTTATCAAGAAGCAACAACGCTTTTTGAGGAAAATTATAATCTTTTAACCATTTTCTAACTTCAGGTACGAAGCATTCATCAAACCACTTTTTGAAAAGGTCTTTTGTCATCCATGCACTTTTTTGACCGTAATAGTGTACAGGTAAATAAATGTTTTTGAATGTCCGTGGTTTATTAGATTTCCCAATGACCATCATCTTAAGCGCGTGTGCCCGCAGCGTTAGCACATGGTAGTATGGTTACACGCTCTTTACTTACTTTTCGTCCAGGTGTGGATTTTTCGTTACAAGAAACGAAAATTTTTTTAGGTATCACACGCCAAAAAAGCCCTGATTCGTCTGCATTGTACACCTGTGACGGGTCAAGATTTAAATCGTTCACCTTTTGCAAAAATCTTAATTTAAAGGGCTCTATGCAGATGGCATCGTTAGAAAGTTTCTCTCCTGTAATAGTCATTAAACGTATGCCATGACGACTTTTAAAACGTTCTAGCCATCCTTTGCTGGCCCCAAAATCATCATGGCCAACATGGGTCCTGAAATTGGTGCATGCCTATTTCTTTCCTGAAGAAACCACATGTACAAAGCTCCTTCCAGTTCTGGATGTTCAGCTTTCTTGAGTGTCTGTCTTTTGCCTGGCCCGCAATCAGTATTTGACACGAACTTTTTGATCTTCTCGTGGTTTCTTTTAATGTTATAAATTGTAGATCGGCCTACGCCGTATTCACTTGCTAAACTACTGAAAGTTTCATTGCGATTAAAGCGGTCTAAAATATCACATTTTTCTTTAAGTGTCAATGTTTTGTGCTTTCGCTTCTGAGCTTGTGATGACATTACTAGGTACTATACTTATTACACAATGAATAAATAGTAAACAATGAACGCACGCTAGGCCGTACCGCTATCACAAGTAGTCAAATCCAAACTAAGTAAAACAATGCTTACGCGTCGACCTGTTCAAACCTGCGTGATCTACATTAGCGAAGATTGTCAAATACGTATGTATGTAATATTCAAAGACATGTCGGATTACAGGGGGCGCCGGATTAGACAGGGGCCGGATTATCGGGGGCCCACTGTATAATCATTTCATTTAAAGCTTCACTGTTTCATGAGGTTTTTCCTGTTAACTTAGAGCAATCAAGTTCTTCAATCCGAATAAGCTTGTCCAGCAACAAACAGTCGCGAGCCTAGATAAATGACTGCATGATCGACGGTACAATCTTGTGGACGGTCGAAGCCCAACTCAGGATTAATGGCAACATTCGCAATGAACAAGGTGAGAATGAACTACCTTGAAAAAGTATCTGCCTCCGTTCTGCTGTCCGAGTGCTCGAACCACCAAAGAGTAAGTCCGAGACTGTACGCATGCGCAGATCGCGCGCTAGCTCTATCTCTCTTACTCCCATACAGATGATTTATAAAAGAATTTATCAATCCTAATCAGGATAATGGAAAACTATTATCAAATTATTGCATTGTCATCGGTCCTTGACACGTATGCGAAGTTCCAAATTAATCAAAATTGGTGAAAATTATGCTCAAAGATTCCGTTACAAGCTAATATAAGTGTGTTAATTAAATAGCTGGTGCTCCTATTAATAGATACTATCCTCCAATTATTATCTATTTATAGGAGGTGCTAATGCTGCATTAACGTTTCAACTGTTATCAACGGCGCAAGTGTCAAACGTCGATCTAACGTTAGATGAAATAGCAGGAATCCACACAAGGAACTTACTCACGTTTTGGGAACCAAATGAATTATCCACTGTGGATATTTTAATGACAGGTCCAAATCCTAGACATACGTTTTTGTATAACCTTCATCAAAACAAAAGAACTTAAATTAATAGTCGATAAACTGCAGAACACTAAAGCTATGATCACATTAGTGCGCTATTTCTTTCTCTTCCGCCTTCAAAACCAACATGACCCGAATTGACCTTGACAACTAAGCAGCCACGACTTTTCCGTGCTCTTGTGAGTGATTCTTACTAAGTCTCTTCAATTGTCCTTGTAAAAGGTTTTTAAATGAACTACTTGATTCAGTATCACAATTCTGAGTATTTGGCCTGAGAACTGAAATCGGCACATTGACCACTTTTGCAAATCGGCCAACCTTTCTGGTCCTATGAAAACTTTTGTTCGGGAAAAAGAAATATGTTGTAATCAATTTTTGGACAAATCGACTGTAACCCATTTTCCGTATGTTTTGTGCAGGATCCTTGATAATAATGGTGTAACATTTCCAACCCTCTACCCTCTGCTACCCCCAACCCACAAATCTTGAACCCCTAAAATTTTTTTCTGAGTGATCAGGGCCTCTTTAACCATAAAAATTCTATTTTTAACTGGTTTTTATTTTTTATTTTTTTCCTCCTAGTCAACCCTGGGTGGAAAATTAATTTCCACTGGATACCTCCTCCGCCGCTGGGAGTGCAGTAGGATGTAGGTATACGATGCTCCTCCATTTTATTCGATTTTGACGGTAATTTGGTGCGGAAAAATTCGTGTACGTGTTCTACCCAGTGCCTTCCAAGTCTCGTGTGAAGGAACCTGTTTTTATTCAAATGACCAAATCCATCTAAACTTATGACATGACAGCCGAGCTATAAGAACAATGAAAACAAGCACAGGCAATCTTATAGTGGCAGTATTTATAATATGCCTTTTTTTTACTAGTTAAATCTCAGTAATCCATGCCACAAAACATGTCAATAAGAACATACGACAATATCTGGAACTCCACAAGTTTGTAGAGGACAGATATAGCGATATACCTATACTATATACTGACATACAAAAATAAATTGGAATTATAAAATATAGGTGCTCGATACACCAGTTCTGCCTTAAGTGGTCGACGGTGCCTGATTCCAAAAGTCTGCGAATCTCAGTAACTCATCGAGATTATTAGAAAACATATTCTCACTATTTTTATACTATATATCTCAACGTAAATCAAATTTTCGGAGGCTTAAACAGCAAAAGACGGATGACAACAAGACATATCACTGAATCCAAGAAATTGGTAACTGAAAATATCAGCAAATATCACTACAATATACAAGTAGATAGCAATGAAGACGATAATAGTTACGTCAGAAGAATTGCTTAGGAGGAACAAGCTGGCTGCAGAATTAACACGAAATGAACGGAATGACGTGATAACAAAGCTAAGAGGGAAATAATCGATAAATTAAAACGCAAATCTAAGTGAAAAAGGCACAGAGACTGATACTGCACCCACGGAACATATTCACATGCATACTCAACAACACGAGGACAGCCATTCCATATGCGCTCAAAAAAGAATTAATAAAGAACGGGAGTCTGCTGACCACCAACGACGTTTAAGCCCCGAAATAAGTTAATTTGAGCTGGGTGGTAATGTTGAACCATATGAAGATGTTTCATAAAAACTGATTAAAAGAAAAAAACGCCGAGAGACGTCAATAGGTTTTTCAAGGAGGACAACATTTTAACCAAAAACTACTTCAGCCCCTTTCACCCTCTACCCCCAGGGTTATTCCCTTAAAAATTTTAAATGACAAGGGGTATCAAATAATAGCTTGTTTGAAAGGTCTTTCGAAGTCCTTTATTTTGACGTTTGATGTTTTAAAATCAGTCAATTCGTTTTTGAGAAAATTAGAAAAATCTTTATTTATCTTAATTTGTTTAGATAGAAAACAAAAACACACGAAAATATCACTTTTTATTTCAATGAGTGTTGAAAGTATTGACCGCTAGGGTTTGCTAAATCTACAATTCGTTTATAATAACGGAAAACTACCAACATAAACAGCATTTCGGAAGATTACCAAATAGCAACCCGAATTTTTTTTCATAAATACAGATATCCTGGGCGAACTGTAGTTATTGTTATCCCTGTTTAGTTATTAGTTGCTAAGGGAAAGAAAGAATTTAATTTGCTGTCATCTACGTTAGTGAAAATCTTGGGATAGTGAAAATTACTTTATTGATTCAGATTTTAGTTCCAAAATAGTTTACACACTAGCCGAAAGAGTGGAAATGATTCTAATTTATGGTGACCAAAATCAATGTGCTCGGTAAACGCCAGACATCCGGGGAAGATAACTTCGCATAGGTATGTTTTGGACCTCGTTACTAAATTTACTCAAACTGGATCTGTTGCAAGTAGAAAACGTGATCATCCGAGAGTTTTGGATGAAGCCGATCAAGTTGAAGTTTTTGGTCATTTTGGAATAAATCCTATTACTTCATTACGCAAAATTGTTGCTGCGGCTGGTATTTCATTAGGCTTTGTACGCACAGTTACTGAACTCCATTAATTTTATACATTCAAAATGAAAATATTGCAAGAGTCAACCGAAGATGATTTCGATAGGCGCTAATACAATAATTGTATTATTCGTGTAAAGAATATCTGCTTCAATGATGAATGCACATTTTATCTAAATGGATTTGTTAATAAGCAGAACTGCAGGTACTGAAGCAATGAAAATTCTCATGCTTTTGTAGAAGGGCATACCCAGTACCCTCAAAAAAATAATGTATGGGCAGACATCTTAGGAAACAAAGTGTTTGGGCCATTGTTTATTAATGGAGAATGGAGACATTTATTTGGATATGTTGGAAAATACCATCAACACGCTTATCACTGAAACCATTGAAAATCAAATCCAAGAGGATGTAAACCTTATACTTGATGAGACTGAAATATATTTTTAGCCACACGGTGCTCCTCCTCACTCTATTCTTCCGGTTTGGCAATGGCTAGACGACGAGTTTACAGATAAATGGATAGGGCGAAGAGGGCCTATAGAATGACCTGCTAGATTTACTGATTTGAAGCTATTAGATTTTTTCTATGGGGCCAATTGAAATCTATTGCGTTTACTCCCCAACTTAAAAGCTTGGATGAACATCGAAAGCTGCCATCCCACAACATGTTTTTGAAAATGTCCGTCAAGAATTTGAACATCGCATATATCATTGTTTGGCCAATAACACTTATTGAAATAAAAAGTGATATTTTCGTGTGTTTTTGTTTTCTATGATCAGAATCAAATTAAGATAAATGAAGAAGATTTTTCTAGTCTTCTCAAAAACGAATCGAGTGATTTTGAAAAGTCAAACGTCAAAATAAAGGACTTCGAAAGACCCTTCAGACAAGCTATTACTCGATACCTCTTGTGATTTAAAATTCTCAAGAGGATGAATTTCTGAAAAGTGTTGGAACTACATATAGACAATTAAACATTTCTCGTGGAAGCCTAAGACTAATATTGAGTTTTCTGAGCTAAGGCCATTTTTATAAAATCTATTCCTTATGGAAAAGATGATTTCACACACACACTCACACACACACACACACACACACACGCACACGCGCATGAGCATGCGCACCCGCACCTGCATCCGCACTCGCACGCACACGCACAAGCGCAAGCGCACGCGCACGCCGCAATTTCCGCACACCATTCAAAAACTAGTCTGTGAAGTTGTACATTTTTGTTCTAATTCTACAGCTAACTATGTTATCTACAAAATGACACCAAATTTGTTCCCTATGTTAGTTATTTTAAGTACAAATATTGCTTAAACATGACCTTGCGCAAGCCGGGTATCGGACCGGACCCCACATTCCTGGGATAGAGATGAAGGTGTGGAGAGTGTGAGTGAGATAACATCTACCGGAAGGTCTCGTTATCGAGATGGTAACAACCGGTTATTTGTTGTCAATGTCATAGTGAGTGTTTTGTAGTCCCCCGCCACGCGTTGCGATCATACATTCATTTTTTTACCATTGCTGACTAGTTTCAATGTCAATTTTCTGAAAGTATTTGAGCTGGAAGAGATTTGTGACTGAACATTTTATTAGTCATACCTAAGTTTTTAACATGCCAAATCGTTCACGTAATGAATTTTTAAATCACCATTTTTGCTGATATGGTGTTTGTTTCCTTACCATTTTCGAAGAGTTCAGGATCTTGATGAGCCAGATTATGCAGCAAGAATCATATTTTGCTCCTGGTTTCAACGGCAGCTTTCGATAGGACTGCAACTTCTGGGAAAACATTCTATGGACGGACGAAGCAAAATTTACGAGGCAGGAGATCATAAACCATAGAATCGACCACTTGTGGTCTTCGGAAAACCATTATGCAGTTCGACCGAGCACTTTCCAACAGGAATTTAATGTAAACATGTGGGCCAGAATGATCGACGGAGTCTTAGTCGGCCCAGTTGAGCTACCTCCAAGGTTAGATGGCCAGGGATTTTTTGACTTCTTGAGGACCATGTTTGCAGATCTACTCTATGATCTGCCATTTGGATAGGCAACATTCTCCATGGATAGAACGTGAAGGCACTGTTGCTTGCCCACCCCGATCACCTGATTTAACGCCCCTAGTTTATTCTTTCTGAGGTACAATGAAGCAAAAAGTTTACTGTCATTTGTCGACGACACGGGAAGAGCTCGTGGAAAGGATCTATACCGCTGCGAACGAAATTAGAGCTGACACGGATATGGCCCGCTGCTCAACACGACACATTGTTTTAAGAACAACAATGTGCATAACCAATAATGGAGGACATTTTGAACAGCTTCTGTAACATTAAACATGTCCAAAATATTTATAAGAAACATTGATTTGTCATTTTTATGTATACTTTGTACCATGTTAGATTGTATTTATTACTTAACGTAGAAGACTTAGCATAATAAATTTGGTGTCATTTTGTAAATAACATAGCTGCAGAATTAGCACAAAAAAGTACAACTTCACAGACTAGTTTTTGAATGATGTGCGGATATGTACAAAATAATCAATTTTCTTGCATATTTTTTTCCGCATTAGTCTGTTTGACGATTAGTATCAATACAAGTTTTTCAATAATTGCTAGAACAACATGTTATCGTTCAAATTACACCAAGTTTATCGTTCTGTGACACTTATGTACTCAGTTATTACAATTTTCATACATGCACTAGCGTAATCGTAACGTAAAAATAAAAATGGCTGCCATTTCAAGAGGAGTGAAGTAGAACATTGTAGAGAGGTGGATTTGTTGATAAAAATAGCTGTAAAATACCCTCCTTGAATATCGGTATGACGTGACCAAACACATTGTATATATGGTATATACAAGGTGTCCCGTATCGTTATGTTCAAATTTTGGGAGCGGAAAGTACACTTCTTTTCAAGTATCAAAAACGCAAAACTTGTATATCCATTCTTATTTATTTCAAAGTTACATGCCCATGAAAGTTATTTGAAGATAATACTAAAAATAAATTGGTAAAGTAAATAAAAAATGATTTTATTAAAAAAAAGGTCAATTGATAATATTTTCAAAATGTGTACCTCCTTGTTGAATGCAGGCTTGTGCCCGTAAGCCAACAGATGACGTAGTTATCTGTATTTGGTACTTGTTTTGTCGTATCTGTTCAGCAGCCTGCTGAATACGCACCAATAACTATTCCCTTGTATTTGAAACTGGATCATAGACTAAAGTTTTCATGTACCCCCATAAATAAAATCAAGGGGATTGTGATCGGGTGATCTAGGGGGCCAGGCTACAGGACCACCTCGACCATTCCATCTTGGATAGTTGACGGTAACCCAATGTCGGACAGCAATTCGGAAATAGGGTTGAACCCCATCCATTTGAAACCACATGTGTAGGCGAATATTCAGTGGGACATCCTAAAAACTCCGTGCAGTTGGTCCATAAGGAATTAAAGGTAACTGTCTGCATTCAACCTTGCCCTTGCAGGAAGCCCAACAGGACCAATCAACAAGTCATCGATTATGGCAGCCAATACGTTAATAGAAAATTCATGTTGAAAATTACATGGACGTACAGCTTTGGGATTTTCTGATTTCCACCTATGTAGGTTTCTCAGATTTGTAATACCACGCCTTGCGAATGTTGCTTCATCTGTCCAGAGGGCTGTTCTGCAGAAATGAAAATTAAGACGGGGCTGTCCTAATATCCAGGTCGAATACACTCGACGAGCATAGTGATCTGCATCAAACAACCTTGTCCCCTACGATAATGATACGGATGTAAGCCTTCACGTATTAAAATTCACCAAATAATCATTCCCGGGACTTGTCTACCGATTCGACGTACACTGATAGATAGTTGCATTCCTTGCAGCAGCATCTAATACTTGTTGATCCAAACCTGCTGGCAACTTCACTGCCCGATCGAAAAGATAATCATGCAGTCCTCATTCCCGAATTGTCTGTGTACTTCCATAAATATGTTTTGTAATGAGGAATGCGTCTATTTGCAAACCGATGTCGATATTCGATAACTGCTTGACGAGCACTGCCGTTACAGTAGCCATACACAAAATGCATGTCTGCGTACTGTTCAGAAGAAAATCGGCAGGGCATTTTGATAAAGAAAACGTCACTCACTAAGAAGCTGCATTTAACCTTGATCGCTTGTTTATCATAAATGTTTTTATTTGTGATCTCCGAAAAAAAAAATAGTAGTTTTTAGTATTATCTTCAAATAATATTCATGGGCGTGTAATTTTGAAATAAATAAGAATGGATATACAAGTTTTGCGTTTTTGTCACTTGAAAAGAAGGGTACTTTCCACTCCCAAAATTTCTAATTCGATGTGTGAATTGTTGAAGTTCTTAGCAACCATCTACCGACAGCTATCAATAATTGGTGATTTGAGGGTTTTCAAAAAAGTTGTGAAGGAATTCTTTCTACGCAAAAGCCTACCATAGCCTACAGGAATACTTTTATCACCTACTGTGACCATATTTGCACGTTGAATTATTGTCTGTTTTATGTTTAACGTTGTTTCATCTTTTAATTTATTTCATGTCATATGATGTCTGTGACTATCTACCTTATATGGTAATGTATTCACTACTTTTGTCATTGTATTAATACAATAAATACAATAAAGCATGATTTGAATGATTGATTGATTAAAATCTGACCGGTGTTTTCCACGAACAGACGGACCGACAGACAGACAGACCGACGAAATCTTCGGAAGCTTTCGCGATTACAATACTTCCTTGTTAGTGGCGTGCGAAGTAAAAAATAGGAGACCATACTTCTGGGTGTACTGTTGTAAGTTAGCTCATTGCTTTCCAAACAGTGGAGAACAATCATTGATTTTTTTCTCGTACCTTCAGCTTTTTGGCAAGCTGTTCCTTTTCTTTAGACTCATGGTCAAGTTCCTCCTGCTTCTTGTCTAAGATTCTGGAGACTTTCATCATCTCTTTTTCAGTGATACTGGTTTCTTCTTTGAATCGGTTCAGCTCAGCAATTCTGTCCTTAATTTGTTGTTGCAGAAACTGAATCGTATGCGACTGGTCTTCAATTATCTTCTCTTTGACAAGCTTGTTGTCCCTTTCACTATCTAAGGCCACTCTTAAAACCAACAACATCTACTTGAGCGCAAAATACTTTATGGCTCTAGAAATATAATACTTCGAAAGCGGTAAAGTTCTTTGCGCTTGAATTGTACAGCAGAAAAAATAAAGGAATGCCTTGAAATCAGAAGATCGCGTGATGCTTACTTCAGATCATCCAGTTGATGTGATAAGCTTAGACAAGTATCTTTGGTACATGGACCTGATAGAGCTTGTCTGAGATCTTCGACTTCTTGTTCCAACTCCAGACTTTGACGTTTCAAACAGTCTATTTCACTCTCAACAGATTTCATTTTCTCTTCCTAAATGCAAAATTCGATAATCATTGTTCTTTGATACATGGCATTCTACTCACTTTTTCTGATAAAACGGCACCTTGAGACAAAATAAGTGCCTCTTGTTCTTTGTTTATCTCAGATAGTTGAAGCAATGTAACTTTATTTTGTTGGACAACTGCTGTCAGCTCTTCAACTAACGATCTTAGTTCATCTCTTTCCTTTAAGTATTTTGATTCTTTTTCGATTGCCTCCCTACATTGCTGTTGATATTCGTCCTCCAAATCTTGACATCTAAAAAGTACGAAATAGTTAATAATCACACCCTCACTTGATGCCCTTGATGCGCTCACAAAACATAAATATTTCTCTGAGCACAGGTCTTCACTCAGAATTTCTTAAGACTGTAATAGTTATTCCAATTAATAAATGATGTCCAAGCGAATTACTAGAAAATTATAGACTCATACGTTTAATTACTCTTCTAGCAAACATAATAAGAAAAATGGTTCAAATTATAAGTGACAACCAATTTGGATTTTCAAAACAAAATAATACCGTGGATGCTATTTTCACATTACTCCAGCGGTTATGCTCAAATTTAAATGATAAACAAATTTAGTAGCTCTTTTTTTGCGACTTTTCCAAAGCTTTTGACATGACATGTTAAAAAATTAAGCAAATGTGGATCCACTGGAACCTCACTCAATTGTTTTAAAACACATTTAAATAATCAATCCCAAATTGCAAGATTATCAAGATATTAATTTCAAAGAAATTCAATATAAACGCAGGGAACCTCAAGGATCCTATCCTATTCTTAGTTTATATCAATAAACTTAAACATAATGGTATATTCGTAGTTTATGCTGACGATACCAGAATACTTTGGCCCGAAGCAGTCGCGCAGGCAGAAGTCTAAATGCTAGGAGCACCGCCTCCTCTTGTAGATTTCTCCACAATCTCGACTCCCTCGGGACAAAGGAGCGGTCGTATCGGCCAGTTCTAGATGTACGAAGTTCAACACGATTAGGATGGGAGGCCAAAGTCAGGCAGGTCTGTCCGGCAGGCACATAGCGTGGCGGCATGATGGAATACAGCTCTGAGGAGCAAAGCCCGTTGGTGTAGCGGTAGAAGAGAGCTAGATCGCCGACGGCCCGCCGGTGCGAGAGGGTCCAGAGACTGTCTGTTAGAGAAGAGTCATCGATCTGAGGGACAGCCCTCCTCTGGACAGAATCGAGCATAAATGATGTAGTCGGGGCGGCAGCACTCCAAACGTGTGAGCAATCCTCAAGGCTATGTCTTATCCGGGCCTTGTACAGAGTGAGGAGGTCATGCGGAGAAAAGAACTTCTAGGCCCTAAACAAATAGCCTAGCTTTTTCTCAGCAGGTGGCGCTATTGACGCGATGAGCTCGTGCCAGATCAAGTTCTTGGTGACCAGCCGAAATGAACGGCTCTTTGACAGTACTCGGCCATCCATCGAAACCAGATGAGCGCTAGCACGCTTTTTGTTCGACAAGGTACAGTTCTGTGTTTTGGAAGCCTTAAACTTTACAAGATTGTTGCGTCCCCATGCAGTGATAACCTCCAGGTGCTAGTCAGCGAGGAAGTCGCTGCTGGTCCTCTTTTTGTCAGCTCACCGGCAGAGATTAGTCGCTATGGATTCCTGTATGTAGAGTGCTGTCATCAGCAAAGCTACGATATTGAGTTGATCTTACAGGAAAAAAGGTCGTTGATATGAAAGACGAACAGTGTCGGAGCCAAGACCGATCCCTGGGAAACACCCGCGTTGACGTTGTGGGATAAAGAGAACTCGTCAATTACGACGGATATCTTGCGGCCAGAGAGGAAGTCAGAAACCCATCTGCACAACTTCTCGGAGAGCCCATAGGATGAAATCAAGATAAAAATTAATAGTGACATACAATCTGTCAAAAAATGGTGTGACAACAATTACTTGACTTTCAATGTCAATAATACAATATTCATGACACTTAAATGCTCCCCTCTTTTTTTTATAAATTCAAATAATGAATAATTGATACACAAACCAGATACCATCAAATTTTTGGGACTGACCATTGATCATAAAATCAATACGAATCATGTAGATAAATTGCTTACTCAACTAGCAAACATTTCATTTATTATAAGAACAATTAGTTACAACATAGAGAAAAGCACAACCTTAGCATTCCCTTAGTGCGTCTGTTCGCGAAATTGTTCAAAGAGTGCTTATTGTACAAGAACAAAGGATTAGATATACTTATAACTAAAAGCAATCCTTTTAAAAATGAATCTGAATTTGAAACATGAAATACAAATTACAGTATCAGACAATAACAAGATCTTAAACTACTAGTATCTAAATCAACATTCGTGAAAAACTCAATAATTTATAATGGTCTGAAAATTTACATGTCTCTCCCTGATGCTGTCTAAAGAATTATTAATTTAAAGATGTTGCGCCTTAAACATAAGAGCTTTTTAATATGTATACCACACAACAAGGTAGTGAGTTCTACAATTCGTCAGATATGCTATAGTTAAGCTTTGTGATTAAGAATGAGTTTATTCTTCAGACAATAAAGCATATTTATAAATCTATTAGCAATTTGGTATCTACTTCCTGTACAACCGGAAAAATTCTTATCAGAATATTCTTACCATTAGACGGGAAGATATTGTCGGGACTATAACATAACGAAAATAGGGTTCAACTCCTTTGGCTACCAAGCCCATCCATAAAAAATTCGTATTTTTGTTAAAATATATTCAACTTACTTGGCCATATACTTCTGATAGCCTTCCAACTTTTCTTCTAAGCATGCACATTTTTCTCGTAACTCTTTCAAAGCACCCTCTTTGTTTGCTGTATCGTTCAGTTGTTCATTCAATGAAGCTATTTCATCTTTCAGAACATTTTCCTTGTTTTCCAATTCCTTTATACGTTCCTCATATTTATCACTTTGTTGTTTAGCTCCCGAGTTTACTTTTTCGCAAAATTCGCACTTGAAATCCGCTACAAGCTACAAAATGATAATGGGCCTGTATACAAGAATAATGTTTGTAATCTAATAGGATTAACAGATATTCTAAGTAGAAATCGTTGCTTTGGATGCTGCTATCGGCTTTTTTTACACAGTCTGAAACCGTGGTTCAGGTCTCTCAATTGACTCTAGTTTCCGAGATATCCTAATCTAAAGGTGGAAAAATAGTTAGCTTTTTCCAGGATGTCTTAAGAATGTCCGTATGTTTCCACACCTAAGCTACGCAGTCGGTTTTCTTATCTTTCCCTTCACAACAAAGAAATTAATGGAGATATATCCTTGAAGTACTGTAGCATGTTAAAATTCTGCGATTTGAATATAAAGATGATGCGTTGATATCGCACCGCGCAAGTTAGATTTCTAGATGTTTTATGTCGAACTATGCGAATCCATACGTGTCGATTGCAAACCAGGATATGCCACTGCTTGCCTTTTCTATAGAAATCGATAATCCTCAATGTTGATTTGCGAGTTTCCTCGTTTTTTTTCCGTCAGCAATTATTAAGGAAATTCCAATGTTATGCTATTGCCTTGTCTACCAATCGATTAGTATGTATGACAAGTATTATTTTTCTTTTCTTCCGATTCAGTTTGGTTGGTTCTCTAGTAGAGAAAAAGTTTTCCTCCTTTTGTCATTAACACACGCTATCTCCGATTGGTCCAAAGGTCAGGTGCCGTTCAGTCTAGACTCTGATTGATTCACTTGTCAGAGGCATCTGCCTATATGTGCCTAAAGAACATTTCCCTGGGTCTTCGCTTCCAGTCATGTGGAGTCATGTATCAGCTTCTGCCCTGCGATTCCTATTAATGGTGTAGTTCGTGCGTTGCGTTTCTCAGCGTGGAGTGCTGGGCAACGAGAAAGCAGATCGCCTGGCTAGGCTGGGAGCCAAATGCACTTGCATCGGTCTCGAGCCTAGGCTGGACACAAGCAGGAGCCAGGTCAATACCGCCCTGAATGGATGGGTGTATAGGGACCAGAAAAGATCGTGGCCTCGACAAACGTCGGGCGCGCTGGCGGCTGGACAGGGGTAGAAAATCAGTCAAACTTTTGGTGGGGGTTCTCACTGGCCACTGCAGACTGAACAGGCACTTTTAGTCACGCGTTATAGTTGTCTGCTGGATCTCTTTTTGACCACGCATCCGGTCGCTTATAGCGCTGCTGTCCGGTCTCCTCTGGCTTTGACAGCAGAAACTCGTCCATGCCGCAAAATTTGGCCTTATGGACATGCCGACTGGGAAGGGTTCACAGAACCGATTTTATTCACGTTGGGATGAAGAAATACATCTTTCATACTGTGAAAGTGTAGTCCCTCAGTTTATTTGCTTACCTTATCCATTCTATCCAGTTCGCTTTTATAATATTCAACTTCCTTAACCGAAGCCTCTAACTGTCCTTCCATCAATTTTAGACACTCACAAACATTTTGATTTTGTTCAGTCATAAGATCATACTGTTTAGTATTGTCCACATACATCACTTGCAAATCGTCGAAACTCTTCCGGAGTGACTCGTATTTCATTTCTTTGTCCCCGACAACTCTATGGAGCTCTTCGCATTGACGTTTTAATCTATCGATCATATTGTCTTTCTGTTTAATGCACTGGCAAAATTTTTCTTTGCTCTGCTTCATCACTTTCGAAGATTTGATTGCTTGTTCATGTAACAGGCCCACCTATAAAACCAAATTCCAGGAGAGCATGAAATATTGATCAACAAATATAAACTCCAATTTTTTTGTCTGCAAATCTGAGGCTGGGCGCTTTCTTGTACCTATAACAATTTATTTTAATTGAACGAGGGGTCATGTAATACTTCATTTTGAAGCTTCTCATAAGTACTTTATAACTCTAGAACATAACATCATTCTCAAAATGGAGATCTGTCACGCTGTCAAAGCTGAACGTTTTTGTACATTGAATCCCTTATAACTAGTCAACCACAGATTAGACTCCAGATCAAACTCATCCAAATGTTATACGTTATATCAATCTTCTCATATAGGGTGTTCCAATATTCTGTTGACATGAAGTACCATGTATTTTTAGACTCAAAATAAGTCGATTGGACATGATTTACATCTAGGATCTTTCAGCTTTTTATTGTTTTTAAGGACCTTTTTTTGTAAATCAGTAAAGGTGCACCATTCTTATATGCTGATGACACCTGTATAATTGCTGACTCAGCAGAAAGCCTTGAGCAAAAAAAAAACAAAATTGTGATAAAGGAATTTGACGAATGGTGCTATAAAAACGGCCTAATCGTCAAATGTAATAAGACTGTAACCAGGCATAAACCTTCGACTAATATCAATCACAAATTTAACGTAACTTCAATTTGTCATTTAAATTCTAATGTTTCATTTTAGGCGCACATCTGTCATGGGAGGAAAATGCTGATTCAGCGTGTACAAAGCTTGGTAAATGTTATTTCGTGATGAATTCTCTTAAAAATACGTTGATATAGATGTCTTGATGAATATTAGGATATTCTGCTATCTTATATTGTATGGTTTGTGGGGGCAGGCTAAAGACGTCCAAAATTCACTATCGGTCATCTTTCAGGGAAATACTCAAACGTTACCGTATTCTTACCGTGGCATCTATTTATACTTTCAAACTGTTGTGTATTTTTTCCTAAGTTAAAACAAATTTAAAAGAGATTCCGATATGTATAACCACAATATTAGTAACAAAGACAATTATTGATTAACAACAAGTTTTATCACATGCAATATAGACAAGTTTCCAGTTTATGCTGGATGTATGCTCCCAGCCGACATACGTGAGGTTAAGTCGTAAAATAGTTTTAAGAGAAAGTTAAAAAACATTTTATTGAATGGCCGCTTTTACTGTATTAAAAAGTTTCTCATATATTTAAAAAACTAATCTACACGTATTCGTATGATTTTTCCTTAGTGTTATTTTGATGTTTGTACATGGTTCTAGTTTTTTCCTTTTCTTTTGACGCATGCCGTGTCATCCCTTGATGATTCGTTGAATAAAGAAAAATTATTATTATTAATATGCAAAACTGTTTCGTTTGTCCGTTAGAGGGATTTTTTTCAGATATTTTTGAAGGCGATAGTCCGATTTGAAGGAAATTTGGAACGCATCTGTTTTGCTAGACGTCCTAGTATTTGAAGTTTACAAAACACCCGAAAGGGTTCGAGAAGGGTGAAAACTACCCTCACTCCTACATAACTTATAGAAGATTTTTTTCTCAACTCTCCCAAGACTCTGAATTTTTTTACTTAAAGGGTTCTTTTCACTTTTTGTCTCATAAAAACAGGCCATTTCGCATTGTTTTTCTAGAAAAAAAAATGTTTTCAGGAGCTGGTTTCTTTTTACATCGAGTGTTAAAATCTAGTGGGCATCCAGTTGGCGGAAATGTGGAATGCTTCATCAAGTTTAAATTAATAAGTAATGTTTGAGTTTATTGTTAATTTGTTGTTTATTCTTCATAAATTATTTATAAATTAATCAATGTTTGAGATTATTTTTAGTTAAGTTGTTTTTGTTGCTTGTTTTTCTCGTGAATATGGAATATCCTTTTGACGAACAGACTGATATGTTGTTAGTACTTTTCTTTTCTGTAAAGGTAATTTTAGAAAAAGTATCAAGAGAGATATCCGATTCGATGAATTCCAAACCGTCAGACTTTAGCAAGCATAGAACGCCGACTTCGAAGAAATGGTCGATTCCAAACCCTTGAGAGCCCACGCTGGGAAACCGCGGCATACCCAAACACCTCGAGTGTAATTGCCCCAGCGACTGTAAAATCTATCTATATGCTGATGACACTGCACTGATAACCCAGTCGAGTTCCGGGAATCTGGTTCACGACAAGTTACAAAGTACCGAGGATCAAAATTAATTACTCGAAAGCCCAGGATATCTATTGTTCTAAAAAACGTAGCGGTGCTCCTTCTGTGGATTCACTGAATGAATTACGTATGCCATGGGAAAATGCTGTTGGGTATCTTGGTATCACTCTTGACGACGGGATCACTTAGCAGAAGCATACTGCCAAGCGTTTAAAACCAAATTCCAAATTATCTATCGGCAACTCTACCCTATGCTATGTAGAACCTCAAAATTAAGTTTGTTCAACAAAATTCGGCTATACAAGATGGTTATTAGACGAGCAAGCACTTATGATGCATATGCAGCATGGTGTTCCCTCGCCAAAACGCGTATTCGTAAAGCAGAGCAGAACCTTGTGAACTGTCACTAGCGCCCCACGGTATGTCTCCAACGATACCCTTCACAAAGACCTCAACATTCGTTACCTAAAGGACTATATCAAACAACAGGCGCAGTTACGTTTTGGTCAAGCAGAATCGCACGGCAACCCTCTATTGCTTGAGTCAGTAGAATACACAGTCCAGCAAATTCGCAAGTACACGAAAGAGCGGCCGACACTGTGAACAAAATTAAATCGTGCAATTCTATGCCCAACCAAAATTATAATTTTTAGATCGATGAAAAATTTCTGAATACTTGTTAACAATGTAAAGGCACCCGTCCCACAGACACACTTCTTCATTTTTGCTCTTCCCTTTTCCTTCCTTTCTACCTTCTTCCATTCTTTCTCCCTGACTTTGTCTGGTATTTGGGCAATCAAACCTGACAGAGCTACTAACCTACAATACTTTAACCAAGAGCAAAGGTTCCGCGGACCGCTCTGACAGACAAAGACGATTAGACCACTAGTGGAAGAAGCTGTTCATGAGGTGGTCGAAGAAAATCCAGGTATACTAAGTGACATATAAATCCGAACACCCAGTTTAAATGGTTTTATTTTAATAAAAGTTGGTGAATGTATTTATCTTACTGTAAATAACAAGTGAAAAGCCTTATCAGTTGGACATTCCGGTTTTTATACTGCTTTTTTTTTTAATTCACTAACGCTCCAAAAATGAATATTTCAGCCGCAGTAAAGAATCAACGTTGGCGGATTTTGGTTCTTGACATCCTTTACGATCGGTTACGATGCCTAGAGTACGGAGACCTGTACGATTTCGTCAACTTAGTGAGTTTGATAGGGGCCGTATAGTGGGACTTCGGGAAGCTGGAATTTCTTTTCGGGCAATTGCAGTTAGATTGCAAAGAAGTGTAGACACTGTGGTTAGGTGTTGTCAGGCATGGCTTCGAGAAGGCCGTACGCAAAGAGCAAGGGGCACTGGACGCCGCCGTAGAACAACAGACCGTGAAGATCGCCGCCTAAGATTATTGGCCTTAAGGGACCGTTTCTCCACTACCAGGTCCATTGCAAATGAATGGTTTGCAGAACACGGAAGACCTATTGGCATGCGAAGTGTTTACCGACGAATGAGAAGTTTTGACTTGTTTTCATACCGGCCACACTGGGTCCTCCCTTTAACTCGAGAACACCGACGTAATCGCCTTGAGTGGTGCAGACAACGGTCACTCTGGGATCAGGAATGGAACAGTATTGTCTTTAGTGACGAGTCTCGATTTTGTTTAGGCATGCACGATGGTCGTGCCAGGGTTAGAAGGCAACGTGGTGAAAGGAGAAATCCACAGTTTTTTGTTGAAAGACATGTTCATCACACTGTTGGAGTTATGGTTTGGGGTGCTATAGCTTATGGTTCCAGGTCACCTTTAATCTTCATCAGAGGTAACATGAACGCGCAGCGTTATATCCACGAAGTTATAGAACCCCATCTTTTACCCTATCTTGACACCCTGAGAGATCCAACTTTCCAACAAGATAATGCCCGACCACATGTTGCAAGAGTCACAATAGACTTCTTTCAACATAATGATGTCACATTGTTACCATGGCAACCAAGATCTCCCGACTTATCCCCAATTGAGCACGTGTGGGATATGATGGGTAGGAGATTGCTCAATTTGCAGCGTCCTCCTCAGACTCTAGAAGCACTTCGAGAGGAGTTGGTGGTTGCCTGGAATGAGATACCACAGTAGGACATTGACCACCTGATCAGAAGCGTGCCTAGGCGCGTTGGAGAATGCGTAGCACATCAGGGTGCATCCACACATTATTAAAGGTCAAAGGGCTTCAAAGCAGTGCAATCATTTTGAAATTCTTATCATTTACTTATTATGCTTCATTAAGTACTTATACAAAATTTTATTAAAATAAAACCATTTAAACTGGGTGTTCGGATTTATATGTCACTTAGTATATCAGCGCTCGTAGATTAGAACATGGACTAGAATTTCAGAAAAGCACTGTCAACCGGATTTTGAATTGTTTTTTTTTTCAGCCTGTCCAGGAATTATTGCTTACTCACGTTTGACACTTACACAAAATGTATCAGAATGCAGGTCAGATGATGGGTCATTTCACAAAAGTATTTGCTTACCCGACGTGGTATAAACATGCATAATATACATGTTAACGCTGAAGAAAATCCGCATGCAGTTTCAGAAAGACATTTTGAATGGGAATTTCAGCTTCCTAGCTTGACGCGTTCAAAAAAAGTGGGGATCCTTTTGAAAAGCACTGTATATACAGATCAAGATTATAATGACGTCTGAAATTGTGACATTTCTTGTAACATGGGAGCATTGCATGGTTGGTCTGACCGCAACCATTTGCGATTGATGCTTGGAAAATGTTAATCTTGCGTGCTAGACAGCAAGCAATAGCAAGTACTTTTTTGGTTAGCCGGAGCAAGAAATTTAATCCAACCTGCTTTTCATACTCTGACAAAATATCCTTAGACTTATGCATCTCCTTCACGGTAGCCTGATACAACTGTCTCTTCTGCTCTAACTCTTTACGCAAATGTTTGTTCTCCTTGGATAGCTGGTAGACTTGTTTTGCTGTCGGATCTTTGCTCGTAGATGATTTCTTCTCAGGAGCAGATCTCATAACCATTAGCTGGCTCTTCACGTTCTCTATCTCCCTCTTTAAGCCATTGACCACCTCGTCTGTCGAGTAAATGTGTTCGGCGATATGCGGACTGATGCAGGGGACTTCCAAAACACTGCGGGATTTCGGGTTTTTGCCGCTGCACGAACATTGTCTTGCCTATTTTGTGATGAAAAAGTGTATGTTAACACACTGAGAATATTTTGGACGTAACATACCACAAGAAACCTATTTGATGTCAAAATTGCTTGAGAATGGCAAAGTCCTACGCCGATTCGCGAAGCATTGAAATTGCGAAAAAAAAACTTTGAAAATGAGTAATTATCTTTTTTGGTTTTTATATGACATAATCATTATTCATCCCGAACAACCATGTCACTCATTTTCGTCGGTCTAGCTGCCGGTCCGTCTGTCCGGTAATCGTTGACCGATCTATAAATTGGAAAATACCTATGCCAAGGACGGAGCTTTATAATTTTTGATTCTCGGTTCAGTAGCGACAGGAAAAAGGCCAAAAAACGGAAAAAATTAAATTAATACAAACTTTGTTTTTTGGCGTCTCAGATCGTGGTAACTTTTGGAGATTTTTAGAAGGGGTTAAAAATGTTGGGTTAGAACTTGTAGTCAGTAGTCGCTTTCGTACTGCTGGGGGCTGTGTATTGTACAGAGGCGCCACAGGCTCTGAATATTCCGGGCCAGGTTTTACGTACAAAAAGAACCAGATTTTTTTCAAGGTTCAACTAATATATTTTGGATTTTTTGTAAAATTTAGTTCAATTTACCTATATACTTGCTTGTAATGTACTTTTTGCAATGGGTGCATTCAGGGAACTGCAGCGCTGAAGTGCGTTATGTCAAAAATGACGTTTTTCACAATGTTTCTATGAGAATGAGAAACAAAATGGTAATTTTGGACAAAGCGCTACAGCACTGTAGGCCCGTATCGTCAGTCGTCCCTACAATTGTAGGGCGTGTTTATGGCTACTTGATTGTCATACTCCTTTCTCTCCTTAAAAAATTTCTAGAATTTCTAGATTACACTTGTCCCGTGTCAGCGTCAGCGCTTTCCTATTGTGAAGATATGTTTTCTTTTTAAATTGTAGGAAATTTCAAGCTGATAAAACATGATATAACTCAAAAGCAAGCACAATTTGATGCAAATAGATGTTTGTGACATAACCTCAAAATAGAGCGCTGACACGGAGAAGTAGAAAACTATGACAATCAAGGAGGCCATAAAGGCGCCCTACAATTGTAGGGACGACTGTCGATACGGGCCGTAGTCTCCCGAATCCATTTAATGATTAGGAAAAAAATAACCACTATAAATAAAAATCACAAAAACTTTATTACAACTAAGCACTTTGGAAGATCAGACTAAAAAGAAAACCCATTTTTAAAACATGTTTTATCTGATAGAAACAAAAAACCACTTGAATTTAAAATGCTTACATACAAAAAATGGCGTCAAGTGGGTTAATTTCTTACGCAACGCCATCATCAGTTCATAAAGGATTAAGTTCAGCGCAATTTAATTCCTCTAACGAAAAAATATGAGTTACGGTCATATACAACATGTATGTTTTTTGCCCTTCGTTATGGATACATATAAAGGCCAGACTGGTTCGCCAGGCGGTGCGCTTAGATAGGGGGAAGAACGTGAACTGAAAAAATTTCTCTATCATCAAGTTTTAAAAGCAAATGTACGGGTAAATCTATGATGTGTGAAATATTGTTGTTAAAAGGTGTGTGTAATTACCGGGGTTGGGAGCGTATAAATATACCAAGATCAATAACAAAAATTCATATACCCTCCTCTACCCCTACAACCCCCAAATTTCAACACTTAATTTTTTTTTCTGAAAATGATCAGAAGCCTTTAAAACAAAGTTTGAGTGATTTTTATTTTTTTCCTTCTTGACTTTTTTCTTCGCCACCAATGATCCGATTTCCATAAATTACAAAGCTTTTGCGTCTTTGGTACAGTAATAACATATTATAAAAATTTCATCGTATTAAATATCTTGAAAAGTGACATTATGTGTCGGTTTTTTTGACATTATATTGGTTTTTGTGACATTATGTATGTTAACGTGCCTCAGAGATGGCATTATTGGAAGTCTAAGCTGTAAGTTATATACTATAGCTAGAAGGAAACGGCAGTGGATAGATGCATAGTGTGACTAATAATACGAGGGATGTCTTTTAAGTTTTGCATATAGAAACATAGTAGGCCGCGCGGATCGAACGTCAGTACTGAATATTAACCTCACTCTTTAGTAAACCTAAATTCAAGGTTTCACAACAATATGTGCAGTGTTCTCACTACAGTGAATGTTTAAGTGTCACCAAGTCATTAGAAAAATGGAACTCAACCGAGAACATTTTCGCGCCATAATTTATTACAACTTTCAGAGACAATTATCGCAACAAGAATGCCTTGCTGAGTTACTGTCTGCTGAATTCAAAGCCAACAAAAGTCATCCGTTCTCGAAGTGTTTCGAAAAAGATGGTCGCGACATTTGTGTCAAAAGCGGGTCATATTGAAACAATTCCCTTTAATGAGCAAAGAACTGTTACTGCGGATTGGTATACCACCATTTGTTTGCCAAAAGTCATCTCCAAGCTTCGAAAAATCAACCCCGAAAGAAGAATCATCCTCCACCAAGACAATGCAAGCTCGCACACAGCCCAAAAAACAAGGCAGTATTTAACGGAACCATCCTCCATATAGTCCCGATCTAAGTCCTAACGATTTCTTTACTTTCCCGAAAATTAAAAACAGACTGCGTGGTCAAAGGTTTCAGTCACCAGAAGAAACAGTTGACGCATTCAAAAATGCCGTTTTGGATCTGCCAACGAGTGGAATAACTGCTTCGAAAATTGGTTCGAGCGCATGCAGATCTGTATTAATCTTCATGTAGAATACTTCGAAAGACAATAAAGTCATTTAAAACTACCTAACATGTTGTTTTATTTCTATATGCAAAACTTAAAAGACATGCCTCGTATGCCTCAAATACACTTGCTCAAGATTCAAAGCTAGAAATTAGTTGCGCATCTACTTTTTCTTATTTATTCTGGCAGCTAGATATACAAATTCGCTGAATTTAAAAAATGAGAGAGATAAGAAAAGAGAATCTCTGGTTGGTAAAGGAACAAGTGAGAAAATATGCTACAGACAGAAATATTTATTAAAGTGAAAAGGTACATTATTTCTTATTTCCAGTCATTCAAATTTTATAGAAATTTATTTTGCAATGTCAATAGAAAATACAAATCCGCGCCTAGATGTGAGGCATTGCGAAAATGTTTGTTGTGTCATTCCTAATTTTTTTGTTATGTGGCTTAATTTTTGAAAACACAAAAAAGGGAAAAATCGTAATTTATAACTTTAAGCATAACCTGTCTTCAGAAAGGGCAACATGTAAATAATAGATATACTTCATTCGCAGCATATTCAATAATAGTTTTCTCACACAGCAAATATCACTGATTCTATACACCTGCAGACCAATACACGTAATCGTCCTGATGCGATCTTTCCATTCAACCAACTTTCTTTTTTTCACATCTCAAAGATAAACACTACAGACTAGTCGGTTTCACAAAACATAAAGTTGCTTCCTGCAACCAACCATGCGTGTAGTTGAGTTCATAGATGGACGCTCACATCGATCATACCGAGCAAACGTGGAATGAACTATTTACACCCTAAAAACTACCTAGTATGCCAGATGACATTTTATTTTTTTTACGTTTAGGTTTTTTTATATAATAGTCATGTCGAGCGGTACTTCCCAAGTTATAGGTGGTTATAGGATTAGCGGACAAACCGACGGAAAGGGGTGACATGGTTTTTACTAATGTACTTACTTGTCATATAACATCTAAAAAACATAATATCTGATTTTCGAAATTTTTCATGATTACAATAGGTTCCTTGTCCAGTGGACGTAAAAACAAAAGCATAGTTGAAGCTGAGTACGCTTGCTCAGTAAGCTTAGTCTTACTAGTTGGAAACTCTAATGTCCAATGTACGCTAACTTTACGGCTCAAAAAGTAATTAGAGTTACAATTTATTTGACCTATTAAGTTGCATTAAAAATGATGTGGAAAAAGGACCAGATTTAGAAAAGGGGAGCCAAGGGACCATTCCGTTTCCAAAGGGCCAGATTTGGCTCTATTGGGCTCTCTGTGGCAACACTGGTGCTGTGTGCCGTGAAAGTCAATGTTGCCATCCATGCTAGATTATTTATAGCAACGATCATGTGCACCCACAGGAATTTTTATCAAGTGAGAGACAGAAAGAACCAAAATTGTACACAGAATCATGGTAAATGTGCAAATTTTAATTGTAAGTGCCTCTTTGATTAGCTTAATCCACCTAATTTTTTTTTATACATTTTCGTAACTAGCTTTCTTCAGAAGGGTTAACTTGTGCCGAACATAATCCTTTACGAACTGATGACAGCGTTGCGTGAGAAGTACAGAAACAACCTACTTGACGCCATTTTTTAAACTTGATGTGACGCAAAATTGAGCCAAGTATACAGGATGTTTCATAATGTTGTCAGAGAAACTTACAGTAAATTCATTACGTACAAATATGAAAAGAAAAAGTCTTGTGTTTAGCGAATAATGTACCTTGGGCAAGTAAGTGCCGTTTCTTGAAGATTTCACATGAAAGTATCAATTTATCGTTTTTTTTTTGTAATGTTCGTTGAAAAGGAGATCAGCTCTATTATTATCTTCCACTGACAAACAAATTGATGTACTAGTTGCGAGACTCAAATTATATCTTAGGTAGGTGCTAATAATATTTTACTGCCTTCACCACAGACTCAGGAAATTTATAGTGAATTGTGTTTTATTAAACAATTTGATTATTAAGTCGTATACAAACATTACAAGTGCATTTTTTTCGTTTACAACCAATAATACAGCTTAAAAAATTAACCTCTAAAATCCCTGGTGATTTTCTTTAATCTGGCAACACTGATAAATAGGTAACTAACTCGAACTTAATGTCGACACAGATACAGTGGAGTATTTACATATTTTAGGAATTGTTGGGTATTAGGAATTCCTACAACTTTAGCGTTCAGCGATGCTTTTGTGATTGATTACCTAATTGTTTTTATATTTATACGAGCCCCTTCCCACTTCAGTTGGCCCACTTCAAGATTAGTACCAAAATATGCCTTTATAAACTAAACATGACGAAACTATTTACTTCTAAAACAATTTATTTTCTCAAAAATATTTTAGATACACTCTAGTCGTAAAAAATACATATTTGAAATCACTTAGACCTATAACTAATAGAACATCTGAACAAATAAACAATGTGCGAATAAATCACCTTTATTTTTCATTACGGCTGAAATTCTTTGGGGCATAGTGTTAACCAAGTTTTGGCAAAAATTTGGTGTAAAACAATCCCATATTTCTTGAAGCTTTTGTCTCAGTTCGGTGATTGTACGAGCAGGATGTTGTCGTAGAACCTTTTTCATCTCGTGCCACAAAGTTTCAATAGCTGACAGATCTGGACTGCTAGAAACCCATTTCAAAAGTGGTACATTATTTTCTTCCAACAATTTTATAGCCTTTTTTGAGGTATGGCACGCTGCACCATCTTACTGAAAACCCAAAATCTTGGCCGGATGTCAAACATTCTTCCATCACTGGTAAAAGCGATTCTTCTAAAATTGCGAAATATTTTTGTATCCACATTTCCATCAATAAAATGGAACCTGGAACATGGAATGATTCATTTTTTTGCGAATAACTCTACTGCGACTGTCACCAACACAAACTTCGTATCGGGCCTCATCACTCCATTGTATTGCTCACCATTGTTGAGGTGTCCATTGTCTATGTTCTTTAGCCCATCTAAGCCGATTTTTCTTTTGCAGTGGAGTTGATAGTGGCTTTTCTTTGGCCTATAAACATGTTGGGCAACTTTAGGGTTTTTACTTCACTTTTTTTTATAAGAAAACTTACCTTGCAAGTGCTAAATCCCAGTTTGTGGGCCTCTCTAAGTTGTGGACCTCGGAATTCTCCTTTCAACAGCGTCACACCACAGAGCACTTATTTGTAAATAATTGGCACGCCTGTTTTTCACGATTATTCTTCTTAATGCTCTTCGGTCGGCATTTGTGATATTACTTTTTTTCACATATATTGGCTTAATATTAACTGAACCAGTTACGTTATATCTTCTAACAATATTTCTCACACTGTACCGCGATAAGTCTAACAAAGTTGCAATTTCTGAGTTTGATTTCCCAGAATTAAAAAATTTAATTACCAGTAACCGAATTTTCTAACTAATAACCTTTCCTCTACCCATTTTGAAAACCTTAACTACCCAAAACTATTTTAAACGTATTCTGACAGCTGGGATTAATAAAAACAATTGTCATGGCTTCTAATTTTCACAGTCACCTATGCGTTATAGACTTATTTTGCATTAAAATGAAAATAGGTTGATGTGCTGTAATTGCAACATGTGTTATTTTTATGCTGCAAATTTGATTAGGGAGTGACAAAGTGGGTGTTTTCTACTATATATTATCAAAATATTAATTGTTAATATTTTAAACCTATAACACCCTACTACATTTTTATTATTTGTGTTTGATAAGAAAAAAGCCAAGATTTCAATAGTTGGGTCAACTGAAGTGGGAAGGGGCTCGTATATCTTTCTAAATTTTATGATCCTTAAAAATGTACACGTCTATTTCGCTTAACCTTTAATTTGTGTTACTCAGTATATGATGGTATCTGAATATTTCGTCAAGTAGATTGACTCAGTACAAACCGACATAAATGAGAAGCATGAACCTGCTTGATGCAGATAGCAACAGAACGCTTGTGAACTGAAGTTCGAATATTGGAATACTGACATCGTTTAGGTTTAGGTAGTTGTTGATTTTCAAAATTGGCGGACGAACTACGGACAAAAAGACAAAAATCGCTGGAACATAGTATTATAACGTTTCAGAGATACCTGGCCTATTTTCAGACATTGTTAGGATGGGTCGAATATTGCAGGTTGCAAGCGGTAACCGGCAAATGGTTGTACAATTGGATTGGTCATCATCTGGTGGTATATTTATGTACACATGTGAGTCCGAAGGATTTTTTTAGGGGGAGGGGGCAAATTCAGTAAATTCGTAAGATTTTGCACAAAATCAAGCAAAATATGCATATTTTAAGGATCGGCCGGATACTCAGGGAGACCGCAGCCCTCCTTGGCACCTACCTGCACCAGATCGGTGCAAGACCAACCGCATCGCTGGAACCGATTGATTCAATAACAGTTACCAGTCACAGGCTTCGCCTCCCTACTACTACTACTACTACCACTACTACTTAATGAATGGTAATACCCTGTAATGACTAAAATACTAACCATAGAAGCACTGACAGGACATGGACAACTATCAGATTTCGCGATAGTAACGTTATTCATCAATCCTTGATGTTGATCTGGCTCCCCTTTCTCTGCACTAAAGTTATGATATACCGTACTGGCCTTTACCGTCCACTCTTTTGTTGGTATCTGCTGACAATCGTTCCTACTTCGGCTTCTTGATCTCGAACAACTACTCTTCCTCCTCCTCAAAAATATAAAATACTATTATTAATCAAATATCAATTCATAGTTTTCAATGTAATTAGATTCTTGAAGGTAATTGTAAGTCGGGCTACATTTTTTCATGTCAAAAAATGAAATGTTAGAGGAGGCTGGCAGCTGCCCCTATGGTGTATTTAAAATAATTTATAATTAAAAAATAAAGTCAAATAGATTGACTCTATACTTCATATGCCTTCGTTGGAGGTATAAAAGAAAAGGGATGAGTCAAAACAATCCAAAAGGCGAAATCGAATCGTGACTAGGTAGGTTCACTTAGGTACGAATCTTGACCTCTTCCTGTCAAACTATATAAAGAAAATCTATCGTATTTCTGCTTCCACTGCAGATGCAGGGAAAATATGGGTGACTTATTATATCTAACAGGTGCATAGTATCACCGAGATCAGCAGCTTCTTAATGATAGAAGGTCTTTCAATGACACCAAATGTGCAACAATTGACAATCATTTACCACATGTAGCTTCCATCCTACAATTTTCATCCTTTCCAAACAATGTATGAAAGTGAGCAGGAATCTCTAAGACGTTGTAATACTATGTTCCAGCGATTTTATTTTTTTGTCCGTAGCTTCATCGCCTCTGAATCTATTTTCAAAATCAACGACTATCCAACCGATAGAAGTAATAAATAATATTCGAATTTTTCTGTTATTTAAAGATATCTGCATTACACAAGTCCGTGTTTCTCGTTTATGCCGGTTCGTCAGTCTGTGTCTGTTGTATATCAATGCCTAATATGTACTGAGTCAATCTACTTTACGAAATATTCAGAGAATCATCATAGATGGAGTAACACAAATTAAAGAAGAAAAACATATGTGCAGATATAATCATAGTTACATCATTTTCAAAAACTAAAGCTTAAGGATCACTTTGAATACATTATTTAAAAAATTGCCAAAAAAACAAATTGATTCTATAGGGCTTCTCATAGTCTTGGTACATATTCCAAGAAAATAGTTTATAATACAATTATTCTACCGCACTTACTATATTGTTCAACTATCTTGTTCACTGCCAATGCTGAATAAGAATCTATGTTACAAGAATTGCAGTGTTTGAATATAAAAAAATTCATATATATTAATTTGGTTCCTATTATTATATTTAAAATAAAAATGATATTTTGCCACAACATTTAGAACACTACATAGAATTAAATAATCATTACAACAATTATTATACAAGAGGAAATATAAATGTTTATTTACAAAATTGCAATAGTAATATAACTAGCAAATCAATATTTCAGAAATGATTACTTGAATTTAATAAACTACATAATGATATACAGTCTACTTGTATTTGAAGATGTTTAAAAGAAAATTAAAGGAATATTTTATGGACAGTCAAAATTCTTAGAGATGCAAATTTTGTTTTTTTTAAATATATGTATGTGTTATGTAATTGTTCAGTTTTTTAGAAGAATGTAATTATAGCGATCATGCTAAATGAATCTTAAACAACAACAAACAACATTTACAAAAGCATTGCAGAACGCTAAAGAGGTACGCACTTCTTATATCCAAATATTGCTAAAATATAAAATATTTCTCCTGTAGTGGTGTGTCAGTGACGAGACCATCGCAGGCCAGTTGGAATTTGTTACTCATTACACAGTTGGCAGTGGTATCCATCACGATACAGAACCGCGCCGTACACGCAGCATCAGCGATTGACAAGTTATTTTGAATTATTAGCACATGATACGTAGGACCATCATTTAATTTTCCCGTTGTTATCGGGATCAGAAGCTTATTGATGATAGAATGTCTTTGACTAATACTACAGACGTCCATTCACAATGCCCTACAATCTCCAACCCCCAAGTTTCAACCCCTACAAAAAATTTCCTAAAATGATCAGGAGCCTCTGAAACGTCAAAAAACGGGGTTTAGGCGATTTTTATGTTTTCATATTTTTGCTCCAGCTCCGATTTGCAAAAACTACAAAGCTTTTTCATCCTTGCGTAGTAGTAACCTCGTGTGAAAAATTCATCAAAATCACACCGATGGAAATGAGGAGTGACATGGTTTTTCGCGCTGGTCGTACAGCTGTCGCCATTATGTCAGTGATCGTGCCTAAGATCCCGCCACACAAATTCCTTTCAACATGTGGTCTGGCATTATCTTGTTGGAAAGTTGGATCTGCCAGGGTGTCAAGATAGGGTAAAAGATGGCGTTCTAGAACTTCGTGGATATAACGCTGCGCGTTCATGTTACCTCTGATGAAGATTAAAGGTGACCTGGAACCATAAGCTATAGCACCCCAAACCATAATTCCAACAGTGTGATGAACATGTCTTTCAACAAAAAACTGTGGATTCCTCCTTTCACCACGACGCCTTCTAACCCTGGCACGACCATCGTGCATGCCTAAACAAAATCTAGACTCGTCACTAAAGACAATATTGTTCCATTCCTGATCCCAGAGTGACCGTTGTCTGCACCACTCAAGGCGATTACGTCGGTATTCTCGAGTTAAAGGGAGGCCCCAGTGTGGCCGGTATGAAAACAAGCCAAAACTTCTCATTCGTCGGTAAACACTTCGCATACCAATAGGTCTTCCGTGTTCTGCAAACCATTCATTTGCGATGGACCTGGTAGTGGAGAAACGATCCCTTAAAGCCAATAATCTTAGGCGGCGATCTTCACGGTCTGTTGTTCTACGGCGGCGTCCAGTGCCCCTTGCTCTTTGCGTACGGCCTTCTCGAAGCCATGCCTGACAACACCTAACCACAGTGTCTACACTTCTTTGCACTCTAACTGCAATTGCCCGAAAAGAAAGTCCAGCTTCCCGAAGTCCCACTATACGGCCCCTATCAAACTCACTAAGTTGACGAAATCGTACAGGTCTCCGTACTCTAGGCATCGTAACCGATCGTAAAGGATGTCAAGAACCAAAATCCGCCAACGTTGATTCATTACTGCGGTTCATTTTTAGAGCGGAATATTCATTTTTAGAGCGTTAGTGAATTAAAAAGAAACAGTATAAAAACCGGAATGTCCAACTGATAAGGCTGAAAATTTTTCACTTGTTATTTACAGTAAGATAAATACATTCACCAACTTTTATTAAAATAAAACCAGTTAAACTGGGTGTTCGGATTTATATGTCACTTAGTATATATATATCTATAATAACGTGCTTTTCGTCATGCGGTCTCCCATATAGTATACGGAATTTTCCTCAAATTCTCCAGCTAGAACGCCAAGGGCGCTGAGAATGGGAAAATCATCTTGCGCGGACGGTCAGATGATTCTCGACCCTATCAATGGATTTGGACCACAGCGTTCTAGAGTCGTTGGCGCTTTTTAGAATATCGGCGCACGACAAATATTTTAATGCACACCACACAGTTTGTGGTCATTTTCGGTTTTTTTTTTTAGGGGTAGAAACTTTCTGGTTGGTGTTTGTAAATATAGCGTCGGCTGATCCCGGTAAAAGTCCGATGTATAATGCATTGTCGTGGAGGCCACTGCCGACTGTGCAATGGGTACAAAATCCAACTGGTCTGCGGTGGCAGTGGCGGCTCGTGCCAATTCAGTGAGGTAGTACCAGAATGGAAGCCATAATTTTGAATCGATTCAAAATTGTAAAGAATAACTTATAACTTACCCCTGATAGTTAGTGGTCAAAGTTCTTGAGGTTCAATAAATCTGTATGTCCAAAAAAAAATCAAAAATAAAACTATTTACACACGCGCACCAAATTATAAAACAAGTGTGGAGAAGTACCTATAACTTCAAAGTTTTCTATATATGAAGTCCATTCTTTTTTCTTTTTTGGTAGCAAAGTTTTCGATTACCTTATTATTAAAATTTTCAATGCCACTAACAAAATGTTTTTCTGCAGACAGCATTCCTAAAGCACTAAGCCTTTCTTCCTTCATTGTGTTTCTGAGGAAAGTTTTAATCCGTTTCAGCATTGAAAAAGAGCATTCTGCTTCAGATGTTGACATCGGTATAGTGATTAAAATACTTAAGAGCTTAAGAGTTTCTTGAAACGTACAATTTAATCCTTCCTCGTTCAATAAAATGGATAGTGGAACAGCTCCAGAAGTAGTACTCAATTCTTCTCTCTGATATAATACTTGTAACTCAGTTTTAAGCCTGTTTTTGTCTAAAAATGAAAATTGTGTGCATGTGTCATTTAAATGTGCTTCAGGAAACTGATGTTTATAAACAGAAAACTTTTCAGACACAAATAAATTAGAAGCAACTAAATGCCCAGAAAAGTTAAATGTTGTTCTTATTTGCGATAATACTGCATCGCATATTTCTAACGCTTCCCGTTTTTTGCTGCCTTCTTCAACTTGCCTTTTTTTTCTTGCCGGTTCATCAGTTTCTCTCTGCACTCGTTCAATCTCGTCAATAATGCTATCCATTTGTTCTCGTATAGTTTGAATTGCTGCTTCAAAATTCTCTAAATCATTTTTGACCTTAACAGAATAGGTGCATACTTTTTGTAATTGGTTAAAGACAATTTCAACATGTGGCATTATTTTATGGAAAATACTTAGCCAAAATACAAAATTTGTATCTTGCAGCTTTAATTTGTACCCACTGGCTTGATTAATTGACGAAGAATCGCGTGAAGTCCTTTCTATATTGTCCATAACTTCAATCAGGTCTTTCCTATTTTCATAAACTGTATGAACACCTCGTGACTGAAAATTCCAACGTGTTTGGGAAGATCTTGGCAATCTACGATTAACTATTTCATCCAAAATTTTTGTTCTTTGAGGAGACGTCGAAAAAAAAGAGCACAATCCAGATAAATTATGGAAAAATATTCTAGCCTGCTTATTGACAGAGCATGCGCTTGTCATAATTAAATTTAACTGGTGTGCATAGCAATGAACATAATTTGCAAGTGGATAAGTTTCCTTAATAATTTTTTGAACGCCATTCAATTCACCACTCATAACAGACGCACCATCATAGCTTTGAGCTATTAATTTGTTTGGATTTTGATCTAGTAATGGATTTACAACATTTAAAACGCATGCAGCGATTGATTTGGCATCGTGTCCGTCGGGGACGTAAAATCTCCAAAATCTCTCAACTGGTTGTCCTTTACACAAATATCTGAATATAATAACTAACTGAAATTCACAGGCTACGTCCGTCGTTTCATCGGCAATTACTGCAACAAAAGGAGAATTTGCAATCTCCTTCTTAACTTCTTCATGATAAACATCTAGCATGCACTCAAGAAGCTCGTTTTGAGTTGTTTTTGAGGTACCCTCAAAAAGTTTGGTACTTTGAATATGGACTTTCAATTCGTTGTCTAATTCGGCGCTAAAATTCACCAGCTCCTTAAATATGCCTCTGTTTTCCGAATTTTCCTTTTCATCATGACCCCTTAAGGCTAACTCAAATGCTCCACAAAACCTTATACAATTAATAATTTTATTCAATACATATCGATTCTTATCCACTTGATTATTATGTTTAATCAGATCATTGCGATAAGCCGAATTGAGTTATATTTAATTTACCAAGAATAGAAATGCTAAAAACATTATTCATATGGACTTTAGATTTTTCGTGGGTCTTCATTTTATCCCATATATGTATAAGATCGTATGTACCTTTTTTTGACCAAGTCTCGTCACCTCCAAATAGAACACATACAAAACAAAATAGTTTATTCGTTTCTTCACAACCACATATCCAGCTGTTTTTATCGTACACATTTTTATTAAATTTGCGACAGCGCGATTTTTGTCCGCTACCACTTTGTTTCTCAATTTTTAAATCGGGTATTGGCCGTCCTAATTCTTTAATTTGCAGTTTTGATCGAGCGAAAAACCACTAAATGAGTTTTTTAATATCCCGATTTTATTCATTTTCACTAGTTTTAATAAAACAGTAAAAAATATGATCACAAAACAGAGCAGTTCATTAACACTAGACGTACTAAAACAATAACGTTATTTCTCACTTTTCAGGTAAAAAAAGACCGAAATCAGCACTAGACGTAATCATAACGAAACGACCGACCGAACAAAAACACCGCCGATATCATTTGATAACGAATTACGACTGATGATGTGCCTGGTACAAATTATACTTGTCTTTCGCTATTCACCTCATATAAAAATGTCTAGCGTAGCGTTATCTCTGTCGCTCGTATGCGATGCTGGTAAAATGTCTCTCTTTTTATTTGGGCCGGCCCAAAATTGGCACAAGTTGATGACGTCAAGATCAAGGCATGCTTTCCGTCTCGTCGCGTCGGTCGGGTGCGGGCGGGTGCTTGCGGTGTTGTCACGTTGTCAGTGTTGTCACTTCATATAATTTATACCAAAAAAAATGAAAAAGCAGAAAATAAAGCAAAACATTGAAGATTGAAAAAAATATTCTTTTTGAAGAAGACAAGGTAGTACCATGGCACCGTGGCACTACCTCACGAGCCGCCACTGTGCGGCGGTGTCCTCACTGACACACCTCTACAGGAGAAATATTTATACATTTTAGCAATATTTGAAAACTAGGAGTACGTACTACTTTAGCATTCCGCGATGCTTTTTTGATGCTGATGACTTAAATGTTTTCATATCTACACATATTTTTCCGAATTTTATTGTAATACTATTTTGCCTTACCTTCAAATTGTGTTACCCCGTCTATGAAGGTTATATTTCGTGAAGAAGATTGACTCAGTACATTATGATGCATTGATAGACACGGACTGACAAACCGACATAAATGAGAAACATGAACTTGTGTGATGTAGATATTTTTAAGCGACAGAAAACTTGTGAACCGAAGTCCGAATATAATCGCGAGTTTAATACTTCCATGGTTTAGGTAATCGTAGATTTTGCAAATTGATTTTGATTTTTGATTTTACAGATATTGGTTAGGAGGGATGATAGGTTGGAAGCTGTATGCGGTAAATGGTTGTAAATAGTTGCATATTTGGTGTCAGTGAAAGACCTTCTATTATTAAGAGGCTGCTGATCCCGGTAATATTATGCACCTGTTAAAGACAATGAGTCACACAGGTTTTCCTTACATGTGCCATGGAATGGAAACAGATATATGTTTATATAGCTTAATACGTAGCGGTCTAAGATTCATCGTAGCTAAGTGAACCGAGTCATGTCCCGATTCCGCCTTTTGAAACTACTTAGCTCATCCCTACGCAGACGTACGAACTATAGAATCAATCTTCTTGACGCCATTTTTTCACTGTTATTTATTCTACTCTACGGCCATATGCAAGGGAACAATGATTTGCATAGTCGCCAAACAATAAAGATACCAGAGCATATAAAAGTTGACTCAGATACCATACATGACGCATAGACAAAGTTCATTTGTCCTGAATTACGTGAGAAGTACTAAGTCAATCTACTTTAAGTCATTTTTTAATTAACTAAACATTCGGCTTCGGCCAAAAGATTGACCAACCATTTGGTCGGGCCACGGAAATAAGCCAAGCAATGATTGTTCTGTATTAAACCAAGTGCTACCTTGTTGGACTGCTAGAATTCACTCTGCAAGAGTTTCTCGGACGCACCTCAAGCATTTGGTGTTGGACCATAGGGAAGCCATCTCCGCCTTTCATAACGTTATGTACTGCGCAGATGGTACCTTGGATCGATTCGTTCACTGTAATGCTTCCATTGTGATGGGCGGTACCCAAGTTACTTATTTTTGTAATGAAGCCCTAGAATAAATGTGAGTTACTTGTTGGTCTTCTGAAAGCGAGGTAACGTACTTTAGACATTTCCGGTGATTGAATGTAGAATACTTTGAATTTTGACGGTGGTTCACGATATGACACTCTAATTTCACGGTGACTCAACAGGGACTGACAGCTGTTATATATGTCTACAAAAGAACGTAGCGCTTTATGCAAAACGCGAAAACCGCCGCTCCGATGGATTTTCTGTTGGTTCTTAGAGTAGCTTTGACGCTCAGCCAATTTCATCAACCTTTTCTATGTCTTCTTACAAACTGATACTTATCACTAGAGGTAATCTATTGATGTTCTTTATTCAGGGTATCCTAAAAGTTAGGACTTTATTTTTCAGAAACCATTGCTTTTGAATCAACAAAAGAATAAAAATTAAAAAATGTTTATATAAAATAAATGAAAAAGTACCTACGCCAATTTCAAGTACGGCTCTGTCACTATAAGTTGTCGTCATTGGTAAAATGTTTGTAAGCCGACCAGCCGATTAGGCAGAATAAATGGTGCAATAAGCATACCATACCATTTACCATGTCAGCCCAGACACCCAAAGAAAATGTTTGTTGAAAATGTGATCGACGCCGATGGACTACGTGAGGATTTTCCAATGACTAAACATGAGTATTTTAGAAATTATTCACCCTGTTATGCATGAAGGTTAATTCGTCCGTGACTAATATGAACTGCAACAATAACTCACAAAAACGCACTCTTGCAGGAAAATCCTCAGCCTGGAGGGCTTATACAAAAGGGTACAAATCAACACGATGCAGCGTTTACCACATTTTAGTCTTGGATACTTGCACTTGTCTAGCTACTTCCCTAGTGATTGATAAGGATTTCAGCTCTTTGCACAAAGTAAACAAATCTACACAGCTCTGAATGAAAACGTCTGGGAAAGCGATCTGCATACACTCGCGAACCTCGGTAGCATTTTGAAGACACTCACCGTAAATTAAAATTATGTCGACATGTTCAGTATTGATGTATACTTTATCTGAAGTCACTTGAAACACTGTGAAATACCGGGTGCGTTTTATATATCTATATTTAACACGCTCTGTTGCTGCAAAAATCGCCAAATTTCGCAGCAAATATAAGAGATCAAAGGCAGTTTCACCGGTCCACGTGGAGTAAAGCACGCCTATGCGTGGACATAGCCAATGAGAAAGCGTGTATTTCAGAGCTCGGAACAAGTGCAGGTGGCTACTGAAAATTGAAACAGTTTAGCCAGTGCCGTGTAGCGGTGAATAAACGTGTTTTCTTTAGTCTGTCCGTGTTTTTTCATAGATTTTATTCGTTTGTGTGTTTTTGACTTTTGAATACTCAGTTTACTTGTTGATTTAATTGTTGTGTTGATTGTTCTTGTGTGTCCTAAATATGGCTCTTTGGAGACCTTGGGAAAATGCTCCAAGCCACGAGGAGATGGTTGATGAACCTGTGCAGGCAGAATTCTTTCATAAAGATTTAGAGGAACAGACCCAAAGAGTAATCCTAAATATGTATGATTGTCTGAAAAACGAAAATCCAGATTCCTCGCAAAATCAAATTTTAAACAGAATTTGTATCCTGACAAAAATCAGTCGGTCTACCATTTATCGGGTTATAAAAAGGGGAGATGTAGTCAACCATTCCTTCCACAGAAAGCGCATAGGGTAAAAATTAAAAAGAATAGACGTGGGTTTTCAGGAAGATATTCGTCGTATAATATACGGATTTTATAAAGAAAATTTGGTGCCCACGTTGGAAATGATACGGGATAAATTAAAAGATTATCCTGAAGATTTTTATAATTACAAATGCTTAGACTCTGCACTGTATTGTAAAACTGTGTGGTTTTCAATACAAAAAATTAGATAAAAGAATGGTGATAATGGAGTCGTCTCGAATCGTTGAATTGCGCCAAGAATTTTTGCACAAAGTTAAAATCTATAGAGAGCAGAAAAGAAATCTGATTTACCTGGATGAAACGTGGTATGATACCCATGATGTTTTGCAGTACGGCTGGGTTGACGACAGCAACAAGTGCATTTTAAATGCACCATGCAACCGTGGAAAACGAATCATTATTCTCCATGCTGGCAGTGAAAATGGATTTATACCTAATGCCTTGCTGTAATCTGCCAAAAATATCAAAGAATTATGTGCCGACTATCATGAGGATATGACCTCCGACTTATTTGAAAAGTGGATAGAGCAGCAGTTAATACCAAACATTTCCCCAAATTCAGTGATTATCATGGACAATGCGCCATACCATTCCCGACAGAAAAACAAAATTCCGAATACAGGCACAAAAAACAAGACATTATTGATTTTATGAAGGATAAGGGAATGGAAATACCACAAAAATCAACCAAAGGCATATTATTGGATCTTATTAAAAGACAAAAATTTGAAAAAGAGTATGTTGTTGACAATCTGCTTCAGCAAAATGGCCATGAAGTATTACGTCTACCTCCCTATTACTGCATTTTTAACCCGATTGAGTTGGTCTGGGCTGCTTTAAAAAAAAAAGTAAGAAAACATAATCAGACCCCTCAATTAAGTGAATCGCTATTGGCCACAATAAGAGATGCAGTATCTCATATTGCTGCCACAGACCTATGGAAGCAGTGTTCTAGGCATATTATTGAAAAAGAAAATGAATATTGTGTATTGCCTCCTGTAAATCCCGTTGTAATTCCTCTACAAGATGACTAGCGACAGCTCCGAAGGCGAGGATGATATATAAATACCTATAATGTAAGTCTTTATATACCTTTTTATATACCTACCTGCTATGTAAATATTTGTCTATGTCAAACGTTGGAATTCTGTAATTTTTCCATTTCTTAACTTTCAGTCAACATAAATTAAACTCCCAATATAAGTATTTTTTATCCCAAATCAAAAAAATAAAAAGATAGTAAAATCCATTTATTGTGATATAAAAACATTATTATTATCGTTCTAAATAAATGCCGCACGCCTATGATACGTCATGAAATTACAAAGGACGCGCCGACCAAAGGTTTTTATGCTATTTCAAGTGACTTCAGATACGCCATACGAGTGTGCAATTTTGGTTTCTTTAACGAGTGGTAAATAAATGTTTTCCTTACCCACGCTGCCGGTGCCTGGGTTGAGTACTAACATGCGTCGTGCCTTCTCACTTTTGATCTGATCGAGATACGGGAGCGGATCAGGTTTGATTGATGTTGTTGAGCCCAGTATCTCGGCTATCTTAAGACTTTTGATGTATATGCTACTAGGAAACATATAAATGATACTATCACTAAAAACTCGCGCACATGTTCTGCTGTGGACGCAAAGCACTAAAAAGTTGGTACGGCTTGGTCTCAGCGTTGTGGCTGTCTGACAGCTGAAGAGTTTCTGTATTGAGCTGTTGATGCCAGGGGCACCGGAACTGAGGACCAGTATTTACGTCTTGGTCCCCAGGCCCCTTTTGGTTCGCGATGCGGGATCTCTATGGACCACGAAGTAGGCCCTTTTTGGCGGGAGTTAAGTCGATGGCATTGGCAGGAATGCTGAAAGGCGAAGGACGTGTAGACTTAATGTTAATGCAAAATAGTGCAATAAAATAATTAATATTTTGTGAGGGACTTCTGATCTTCCCTTATAAGTTTTGTGTTTTCTTGTCAATAATAAAAATACATTTTTACTGATAATTCATATTATAGCTGTCGCATACGCCAAAGTGTCGGAACCTACAAATCTAACTCTCTCGTACACGCATTGAAAGACACAAAATAGCTTTCGTGCGACAGGCCCTTTAGGGTGAACCCGGGTCCTTTTGGTATTCCCCCTTAGCCCAACATACTTTAGGCGTCCCTGGACGATGCTAATATTGTAATCGCAAAAAATTTTTGAATTGAGATATGTATTATGTTTCTTGGATGTTATATGACGTGTACATGACGAAAAACCATCTCACTCATTTCCGTCGGTCTGACTGTCTGTCGGTCTGTCCCCTGAATCTATAACCATCTAAAACTTGAGAAGTACTTCTCGGATTTTGATGAAATTCTCACACAAGATTGCTACTATGCCAAGAATGAAAAGCTTTGTAGTTTTCGGAAATCGGTCAAGAGTTGGAGGAGTAAAAGACAGAAAAATTAAAAAAAAACATAAAAATCTCTCAAACTTCGTTTTTTGACGTTGTAGATGGTCGTGATTATTTTCAGAATTTTGTTTTGCGGGGGTGAAATTTAGGGGCTGGGGGTTGTAGGGGTGGGGTCAGGTATATGATTTTTTTAATCTTAGTATATTTCATACATCATAGATTTACCCGTACATTTGCGTTTAAAACTTAGAAACATGTTTTCGATCCACATACTTGTGCCTATCAAAGCTAATCGACTAGCGAACCAGTCCAACTAATATATACTCGTATATATATATATATATATATATATTCGTACTCAAGCCCAAAAAACATGCTGAGCCGAACCGAAAGATAACTCGCTGCTGATGTGGAAGGGAAGGAATTTCTCTGGTCTAATTGTATGCACCTGTTTGACTGACTTAATACGTTTAATTTCTTTGTTCTATATTTACGTAATTCAATATTTCCTCAGAGGATTTAAATTGCCCTTAACTTAATATCCTATTGATGGCGGCGTTGAGTAAGAAGTGCAGAGTCAACCCACTTGACGCCATTTTTTTGACGTGGGGGGTAATAATGTAGGGGTTGGGAGTCGGAAATTGGTTTTTTAGGGTCTTAAATCTCTTCCCAAGATAACATAGCTACAGACTTGATTATTTTTTCAAAAAAAGCTCACCGGATATCAGAATAAAGGTATTTTTATCTCCATATTCCATTCCGTTCAAAGGTTTGAATTTTTTAGGAATTTCTTGAAAAAATGCTACTTTTCGAAACTTGACCCTTTGCTTTCGATATTCACATACATTGGGTATCTGATTTACTTATACAGTTTGAAACAGTCTAAAGCAGTTTAAAATGGATAAACAAGTGAACATACGATCGAATAATCTTTTCACCCATCACTAGATTAGTGAAGCTGCTCAAGAAAATTTACAGCTCTATCAGCTTTATCTCTATAAATTTGTCATATCGATAGATCCGCATAGAATTTTGATTACAATATTACGCTTTCTTTGGTCAATATCATTTAACACAGATGAACAGGAAGCGTATGTGACATGTGGTGTAATCGTGTCTCATAAATCCTCAATTCGGTTTGCTATGGAGTACTAAAGAAACAAAAAAAAAAGTGACTGTCAACGACAAACACATTACCTTTATTTAGTTTCCAGTTACAGAGTTCCAGCGAGATGACAGATGTAGGTTATACTTATGATATTTTTAGCTAGCTAGAATAAAAACTTCAGAATGCAATAAATCTAATCAATTTCAGTAATTGATTGACACTTTGGTATTTCACAATAACTTCAGAATGCAATAAATCTAATCAATTTCAGTAATTGATTGACACTTTTGTATTTCACAATAACTTCAAGTCGATTAATGTTTGTTTTTTCTTTCCACTAGTACCTAACGAAAAAAATATTTTTAAACTTTGTGTTTAACTGTAAGCTCAATTGTTAGTATTTTAAAGATAAGTTATGTTTAATAAATATTTCCATCATCCTTCAAAAACGGTTTCTGTTATTCTTCTACGACTGAAATTACTAAAATTATTCAATAGACTGAAAAAACATCTGGAAAAACAACAACAAATATAATTATAAATTCGTTTTAATTAATTCTCAAATATCTAAAACCGATGTGGTGGTTGATTTCCGTCCTCAAAGTCTAGTGGATTTCTGGTGGGTTTGCGAGTTGATTTTTCAAACAAAGCAGTGAAAATATTAAAAAATCTTGATATTTCCGTCATGGACAATCTATATATCTTGGAATAAATCATGCAAAAATAAAAAAAGCGATTGATTCTATACTTCCTACGCCTTCCTTGGATATTTCAAAGAAGAGAGATGAGTTCATTTCAAAATCGTGAAGTCGAATCGTGATTAGGTAGGTTCACTTAGGTACGATGAATTTTCGACCTCTGCATATCAAACTATATAAAGTCAATCTATAATATTTTTGTTTCCATGGCAGATGTAGAGAAAACTTGTTATGTCTAACAGGTGCATAGTATCACTGAGATCTTAATAATAGAGGGTCTTTCACTGACACAAATATGCAACGATTTACAACCATTTATGGTTAGGAATCTCTGAAACGTTGTAACATTATGTTACTACTGCCTCTGAATCAATTTTCAAAATCTACGACTAGGTAAACGAAGGGAGTGTTGAACTCGCGATTATAATCGAACTTCCGTTCATAATTTTTCTGTTACTTAAAGTTGGTCAGTCCGTGTCTGTTGTATAACAATGCGTCATTTACACTGAGTCAATCTACTTGACGAAATATTCAGAGAACTATAGATGGAGTAACACAAATTAAAGGTTAGGCCACAAGTGTGGTATATTTAAGAACCATAAAATTCTGAAAAATATACGTGCAGATATCAAAACAGTCGTCATCATTTACAAAAGCATCGCAGAGCGCTTAAGTGGTACGTACTACGATACTATCTAAATTTTGCTAAAATAATAATATATAAATATTTCTCCTGTAGCGTTGTGTCAGTGACGACACCACCGCAGACTAGTTGGAGTTTGTAACCCATTGCACAGTCGGCAGCGGCCTCCGTGATGATGCAGCATCATGCCGTGCACGCTACGCCAACTATTGCCAAGTTATTTCGTATTATGAGCAAATTATCCATCGGACTTTTATCTTTCAATGTTTTTATTGCTACCGGGATCAGAAGCTTCCTAATGACAGAATGTCGTTGACTAATACTAAAGACACAATCCCCTACCCCCTACATATCTCAATCCCCAAATTTTAACTCCTATAAAACTTTTTCGAAAATGATTAGGAGCCTCTGAAACGTCAAATAAACGAAGTTAAGCGATCTTTATTATTTTCGATTTTTGCCGCTAGCTCCGCCACCACTGGAAGTATTTTCAAAAACTAAAACCTTTTTCATCCCTGGCATAGTAACCCTGTGTGAAAATTTCATCAAAATCCGAGCGGTACTTGTTAAGTTTTACGAGGGATGTCTTTTAAGTTTTGCATATGGAAATAAAACATCACGGTAGGTAGTTTTAAATGACTTTATTGTTTTTCGAAGTATTCTCCACGAAGATTAATACACATCTGCATGTGCTCGAACCAATTTTCGAAGCACTTAGCCCACTCGTTTGCTGGCAGACTCAAAACGGCATTTTTGAATGCGTCAACTGCTTCTTCTGGTGACTGGAACCTTTGACCAGTCTGTTTTTAATTTTCGGGAAAGTAAAGAAATCGTTAGGACTTAGATCGGGACTATGAGGAGGATGGTCCAATAATTCCACGTTTTCTTCCGTTAAATACTGCCTTGTTCTTTGGGCGGTGTGTGAGCTTGCATTGTCTTGGTGGAGGATGATTCTTCTTTCGGGGTTGATTTTTCGAAGCTCGGTGATTACCTTTGGCAAGCAATTGGTGGTATACCAATCCGCAGTAACAGTTCTTTGCTCATTAAGAGGAATTGTTGCAATTTGACCAGCTTTTGACACAAATGTCACGACCATCTTTTTCGAAACACTTCGAGAACGGATGACTTTTGTTGGCTTTTCTTCACCTTGGAACACCCAAACAGCCGACTGTCGTTTATTTTCTGGTTCATAACAGTAAAACCACAATTTATCACCACCAACAATGCTGTATACCAATTAACCCTGGCTGCTTTCTGCTCCTCAGTCAACAGGTGGGGTATCCAACGAGAAACTAATTTTCTTACTCCTAATTCTTAATGTAAATTTTTTTGAATTGAGGTCTTTGAGATCTTCAAGGACGCCTCAATCTCGCGATATGTCGCATGTCTATCTTCAATGATGAGTTTGCGAACAGCATCGACGTTTACCTGGGTGACTGCCGTTTTTGGTGCACCCACCCTGGGATCGTCGCTAAGACTCACCCGTCCACGTTTGAATTCTCCATACCAACGGGAAATTGTCGACTGATGTGGCGCTTCGTTGCAGTAACTCAGCAAGGCATTCTTGTTGCGATAATTGTCTCTGAAAGTTGTAATAAATTATGGCGCGAAAATGTTCTCGGTTGAGTTCCATTGTTCTAATGACTTGGTGACACTTAAAAATTCACTGTAGTGAGAACACTGCACGTATCGTTGTGAAACTTCTAATTTAAGTTTACTAAAGAGTGAGGTTAAGATTCAGTACTGACGTTCGATCCGCGCGGCCTACTATGTTTCTATATGCAAAACTTAAAAGACATCCCTCGTAGACGGATATAAAATTAGCGGACAGATCGACAGTCCGAGAAACCGAAAGACAGACCGACGGAAATGAGTGACATGGTTTTTCGTGAAGTTCATTCATATAACATCCAAAAAATATAAAATCTCAATTTCGAAATTTTTCGCATGACAATACTTACCTTCAAAGCTCACCCATATAAAAAATGTTTAAGAATTGACAAACAAAATCACAAAACACAGCCAAAAAGTTGCCATAAATTATCGCAAAATTACAGATATAATTCATTTTTACGAAAAACTTGTTGACTTGCATCTTAAGTAATTCGATGAATCTTTAAAGATTTAAGCGCAAATAGATTATGTGTTTTGATAGGTATTTTCACGATAGTGATTCACCAATAAATCTCTAATGACAGGCTCAGAAAACGTTTTGTACGCCGACCACCTAGGAGGAAATCGTTGAAGTACCTTCATATTCAGTCATTATCATTTGATTCTATATTATTTGAAATAATGACGAGGAAACATGTACGCATATGACTAATTACCAGCTTAGATCTTCGAACGGACGCTCAAGGATTTGTAGGTTGAAAAGTAAAAATTATTTTTCTTTTTCCTGCCATATTTAGGTATTACTCAGATTATTACGTGACATTACTAATAAGTAAATGTTGTATATTTTTGTCCTTCATCTACAAACAATATAGAAGCTTTTCACGAGTCTATGTTATTTATGTATTTTGATGTTTGTGGATACCTAATGCTTATAAATTTAATGATAGGACATTTTTGAGGAATATTATATAACTTCGATAAAAATGTGTATATGTGTCATATCGATCAGGATTGATAGAAATAGAATCTCTTTGCGTAACATATATACAGTGCTCGTCAAAAAAGTACTCCCACTTTTTGAACCGACCAACATGGCAAAGTGAAATTCGAGGTGATGGACTAAATACACATAAATACAGCGTGCGGCAGCACAACTTCCTTCTTTTAAAACATAATTGAACCCACTGTACGGGTCAAAACATTTATTGATTTTATTTGTTTTTTTTAACGCAGGCGCATGCCTAAAGTTTTATTTTACATAGATAGGTGACTTTCTCATGCTCCATACACTAAGTAAACAAAATCTTGTAGGGTCCTTTGCCGTTGCACGATCTTGTTGGAACCAAATGTCCCCTAAGTCCAACTTATCTAGCCGTGGAAAAAAATCTCGTAACACGTTTACATACGGTTTCAAATTCACTGTCACTGCAACTTCATTTTCCTCAAAGAACCAGTGACTAATAATTCCAGCTGAGGAAATTGCACACCACACTGTCACTTTAGGTGAATGCCTTTGATCCAATTCTGGAGCGACCTGGCGCCGTATTGAAGTATTTCTTCAAGTGGAATGGGAAGAAGGTTTTTGTATTCGGATCTGTACCTAATCATCAAAACATTTCTTACATTACTGTTTAGAACAGATATCCTTATAATATACAGGGTGGCCCATCCATGTGTGGACGGAATATTACTCATAAAGAAATACATTTTGGGAAAATCTATTTATGGGATGTTATACATGATATTTGAAGGGACATTTGTAAAATATTGGCAATTATACAGGGTGTCCCAGTTTTGAGCTACATATCAAAGTTTTTTTAAATGGAATTTTATTGCATATTTGGATAAACCAATTGAAAAGAAGAAGATTGATATTACATACTATGGGGTTTTGGTAATTAGCTACTGAGATATAAGGTGTTTTGTCTAGAAAAACCCCCCACTTCGGCAACCCCTCAGTCCACCATTTTGACATTTGGAGTGCTGAATTTTGTATCAAAAAAACTTGAAAACCCTGATCTTATATCTTATTTGTTACTTTTTTTAATTTTAATTTTTGCTGATTCAGAGTGGTCAAAAACGGAAATTGTAGTTTTTCTCAAAAATTTCAAATTCATCACCCTGTATATTTGTGCAAGTTTGGATTCAATTTTTTATAAGCTTTTTTTTATACTAGACATATAAGGGTTTTTACGGCTATTTTTTCGGTTATTAGCACGCCTTTTATGGAACGGCTTAATTCCCTAAAATATCATCTTTGGAAACAAATAAATTGTTGATTAGTTACAAACTGTCAAAATTAGCTTTGTGAGCATTACAATAAAAACGTGTTTGAAAATGAATTTTTCTAAAGAAGAGGTGGTGAATATGGTGTTCGTTTTAGGCGAAGCCCAAAGAAATAGTTTCCTAGCATCTCGCATTTATAAGCAACGGTACCTTAATATGCGACATCCAAGGCCGGAAACATTTTCCACACTACGAGAACGTTTTGAATCAAGTGGAGCAGTGGAATATAGTAAAAAATGTATAAATAATCCAAGTGTCACCGATGAGGTGAATCAGTTGGAGGTTCTTTAAAGTTGCAGGAAAATCCCCATTTAAGTGCACGGCAAATTGGAGCAGAAACTGATATATGCAGAACTTCTGTCCAAAGGATTATTCACAAGCATAGGTACCATCCACATCACCTATGCTTGCATCAAGGCCTTCATCCTCAGGATCCAAACTTGCACAAATATACTCGGTGATGTATCTGAAATTTTTGGGAAAAAGTAAAATTCACGTTTTTGACCACCCTGTATGAGCAAAAATGAAAATTCGAAAAAGTAATAAATAAGATAAAAGCTGACATGTGTGAGTTTTTTTTTATATATTTATATTTTATACTCCAAATTTCAAAATGGCGGATTGAAGGGTTGCCGAAGTGTACTGTTTTTCTGGACAAAATACCTTACATCTCAGTAGCTAATTACCAAAACCCCATAGTATGTTATATCAATCTTCTTCTTTAGAATTGGTTTATCTAAATATGTAATCAAATTCCATTTAAAAAAAAACAAAATTTTGATATGTAACTCAAAATTGCGACACCCTGTATAATTGCCACTATTTTAGGAATGTGCCCTCAAATGTCATGTATAACATACCATAAATAGATTTTCCCAAATGTATTTGTTTATGAGTAATATTCCGTCCACGCATGGATGGGCCACCCTGTATATTATAATATTAAATAATATGTTCATTACCTCGAGGAAATGAGTGATGTACTTAATGGTTGTAATTGCAAATTACATACAACAATTAATTGTATTGTCCTCAATGATAATGTATATTTTTCTTAATGATCTCTGCTACCGATTGTAACTTATCCTCATTGTCGTGAAATAAATATAATCATAATGACTTTTGCCTTAAAATAAAGATGTGAATTATTGCTTATGTATAATCACAATAATAAATATACTGTTTGTTTTAAACCTATTTTTAGTTCGAGTTTTCGGTAATTCTTATTAGCACTTCAGGAATCTACACTTATGTATACAGGGTGTTCCGCGAGGAAAGAGGCATAGTTAAATGGTGGGTAATATGGACCGAAACCGTTTCATATCTGAAAATAAAATACTCAGAATTCAATTTTTGCGGATATATTAAAACACGCCAAACCTTTACATATCTTAGACAATCTTGAAGATTAATAAAGTTAATTAAGGGTCACCTCAAACTATAGTCGGATGGTTGAAAAATGTAGGGCTGTAGTCAATTTTTCAACTTTTACTCCTGACGCCACTGGCGAAGAAAAATTGTGATCGCGAAAATTGCAAAAATAAGATATTACGATTTTTGGATGTTATTTGTTCATACGTCATTCATTTCCCAGAACATCTGCACTTAAAAATTGATATGAATAATAGCAATGTATTCTAGACATAGGCATGCCGGTCATCTCGGCGAGCATACGTCTGTCTGCTGAATGCTGAAGGATTACTGAATTATGACTCGTGCAGTGTTGCTGAATCAAAAACGACGAAATCGATAGATAGAGTCGTCGAAAATTCGGTAGATTCAAGGACAAATTCGGTAGGAGGAAGAAATCAGGGAACGGTACTTTTGATAGAGCAGGAGAGCAATTGCTAGATCATTCCATTATCAGTGTGTGGACTATGAACTAAATTATGGACATACTTTACTGATTTAGCTCTTTTGTTATATATGATTATAGCTAATTTTTTCTCAGAGGGGCGAACTTGTGCAGAACATAATCCTTTACATTTGTATTTTTTTCAGATTCGTTACATTTTATTAATTGCAACTTGGAAAAGGACTGATACATATCGATATATACTAAGTGACATATAAATCCGAACACTCAGTTTAAATGGTTTTATTTTAATAAAATTTTGTATAAGTACTTAAATGAAGCATAATAAGTAAATGATAAAAATTTCAAAATGATTGCACTGCTTTAAAGCCCTTTGACCTTTAATAATGTGTGGATGCACCCTGATGTGCTACGCATTCTCCAACGCGCCTAGGCAT